AAACATATTTATATGAGGTTGCACTGACATTATAAAGTATAGTTGTTTGGCAGTTGTATGAATGAAGTATTATGTTTTTATAGGTACACCTTGTTGCTCGATCATGAAATCTCTATTCCAGAGCTTAGGAGTAGTATGGGGGATTCTGGTATTGAAATCTGTGGAAATACTAAAATGTGAAATAAAATGTTCTTGCCTGAATCCACAGACAATTTCATCCCTATTTACTCATTCCAAAAAAAATCCCTCATCCAGAAAAATATTTTGTCCTTTCAATGTCCTTTCAACTCTGCAGAGATGGTTGTTTAAGATGAGATATTCCATAGTGAGATGCAATCATGAATTTTCAAACTTAACCCAAATAATATGGTATAGGTCTGTTTTTAGAATGCTGACCTACTCACAGAAATATTTACTGCAATATCACTCTCTCTGTCCTTCTGTCTGTTTGTCTGCCCATAGCTTTGTTATGCATTACTGAGTTTCTGTATTAAGGAATAAATTGATATTTGGTCAATGTGTCCATCTGTCTGCCCCATGAAATACTTTTTTTCTCAGGAACTACAAATCAGAGCATCCTGAAATTTGGTCAATGTGTCCATCTGTCTGCCCCATGAAATACTTTTTTTCTCAGGAACTACAAATCAGAGCTTCCTGAAATTTGGTCAATGTGTCCATCTGTCTGCCCCATGAAATACTTTTTTTCTCAGGAACTACAAATCAGAGCTTCCTGAAATTTGGTCAATGTGTCCATCTGTCTGCCCCATGAAATACTTTTTTCTCAGGAACTACAAATCAGAGCTTCCTGAAATTTGGTCAATGTGTCCATCTGTCTGCCCCATGAAATACTTTTTTTCTCAGGAACTACAAATCAGAGCTTCCTGAAATTTGGTCAATGTGATCATCTGTCTGCCCCATGAAATACTGTTTTTCTCAGGAACTACAAATCAGTCTCAGCTTCCTGAAATTTGGTCAATGTGTCCATCTGTCTGCCCCATGAAATACTTTTTTTTCTCAGGAACTACAAATCAGAGCTTCCTGAAATTTGGTCAATATGTCCATCTGTCTGCCCCATGAAATATTTTTTCTCAGGAACCACAAATCAGAGCTTCCTGAAATTTGGTATCAAGCTGCATGTGAGCATACTGTAATACAGTGTGAAGTTTTTCACATTCATCACTCATCACTGAACTTTCTGTTCACCAAATACTTACAGCAGGGTATCATTACAACTTTTTGTTTTATAAATGAGCAGTCACTTCCGGGGCTCTCGGTCATAAAACTTGACTCAATATTCGGGTACAAAACTTGTGCTCGAAACACTCAATCCAGTGTTTTGATTGGTTGGTTTCTGAGTCTGAGTACGATAATCATGCTCCAAAGTTTTATGACCGCAAGGCCTGGTGGATGATATTTTAATTTTTCATTATACCCACTGAGTATATATATATATATATTTTTTTATCAATATGGGGATATACTTTGCAGGACTTTGCATGTTACTTTTTGTTCATTTTTATTAAGGACAAATATAGCATTTCAGAAAGACATTAAAAGTTCAAAACCTTATAATCATATTGAAAATAAAATATTAGTCTTTTGTATCTGTTCTTATTATTTCTGTCAAATTAAAACTATTATTTCATCAGATATTATTATCAACAACAAACAATTCATGAAATATTTTGTAATTTAGATTCAGCAACAGAATTACCCACTATTATATGGAATATTGGTGACCCAAGATAGCACCCATTTAAATTTGACATAGTAATCTCATTCTGAAGAATGTTTAATTCGTCCACAAGGTTAAACTTCTCTACAATTAGGTATGCAAATTACTTCAAATAGCGGTCATTGACTTCAGTTTGATATCAACAAAAAATATTTGAAACAAACAACCCATTATAGAAAAACATAATAGTCAATACATCAGTTGAGTAATCATAGAATAGTCAGGAGCCTCTGGCCTTTGTTAGTCTTGTAAATGCCCCCTGTGGGACCCTGATTGGAATACCGGTAATAAAATATTTGATTTGATTTGATTTGTATGTTTTTTAATTTTAGTTCATTTATATATTTTGGAGTTTTAGTGTGAACTAGTACACATTTTTGTTTAGGGGCCAGCTGAAGCCCGCCTTAGGGTGCGGGATTTTCTAGCTGTATTGAAGACCCATTGGTGGCCTTCATCTGTTTTCTGCTCTTTGGCAGGGTTGTTGTCTCTTTGACACATTCCCCATTTCCATTCTCAATTTTATTAACAGAAATTAACGTAAGACAGTGTTGATATGAATTATTGATTGTTGGTGTTAAACACAACTTTCAACACTAAAATATGTACATAAAAAGTAAAATACCAAAAATACCAAACTCCACAAGGAAAATTCAAAACATAAAGTCCTTATTCAAATGGCAAAATCAAAAGCTCAAACACATTAAACGAATGGAAAACAACTGTCACCATGGGACCTTGGATGCTTTTCTTTAATTTTTTTTTCTTACTCAATTTCTATCAAATCTGAGGTAACTAGTTAATACCTCCAAAAATAAAAAAACAACAAACATGGAAATATAGTGTATACATCATACAAGTTCCATAATATGTCTTGGAAGCTCATCAGTTATTTGTAAATCAAATGAAAAAAATTTGCTTGCTTGCCTCAGAATTTCAAAGAAATGAATCTGAAGAAAACAGATTAATTTGATTATGTGACATGAAGATTGGACACTAGACCTGGTTTTATGTAGAAGCATATTTATAATAAGATATTGAGTATTCAGTCTTCTACTGAAATTCATTGTGTTTTTTACTTTACGGTAATTCATTTGAAAAATTGATCTATGTAATGTGGAAATGCAGGATTTTTTAAAAGTTTTATTTCATTTAAGGGCATAAGATACAGTAGCAAGGGCAGCTAATAATGCATCCAAATTTAATGCATGTGTTTTCACAACTTTGCTATTGATTTAATTGCATCCAAAATTAGCAGAAAAATCGCAAACATCATCAAGTATGTTACACTATTTAAATAGGTTAAGCTTTTCTGCAAAGGAAAATAAATACATGTATGTTGGATATTTAAGCACCCAAAATCTACTGTAAAGGCATAAAATGTTATGCTAATTAATAAAGACTGTGTCAATAAATTGGTATATGACAGTAATTTGTTTGATGTATGGTGCAAATAGTTGCAAGACGATGTTGCATAAAGAAAACACTACGACGTAATTTAGCACCAAGGGGAATGGGATCTCCAGCATTTAAAAAACTAGGTTTTCTATTTCTAGCTAAAAATTGGACCCAATTTATTTCTTTTACAATCTACTATGTACTTCTTAAATAGATATAAGAAGATGTGGTATGAGTGCAAATGAGACAACTCTCCTTCCAAGTCACAATTTGTAAAAGTAAACCATTATAGGTCAAAGTAGTCGGCCTTCAAGAATGTTATTGAAATTGCAATTAAAAAATCAATGGTAGATATTTTTTATATGCATTTGTATTGGCAAGAAAGTTGTCTTTTGACTACCAATAATAATATGATTTCACAAACAATTACATTTGTATATAATTCAGTCTTCCTTGAAGGCCTCTAATTTAAGTTTGCAAAAAAACAAGTGAAAATATCTCTTCTGTTTGAAAGTTGTGTTCATTTTTAGGAAGGGTATTGAAAAATGAAATTTTGTATTTTTACATGAAAAATGAAAATTTCAAACTGATATATCTCGAAAAGTAAGACATGAGGGTATATTTTTTTTTAAATATTTGGATAGTGCATATTAAAACTTACTTTCTCAAAAAAAAAAAAATCTATATCACATGCCCTTAAGGAGTCCAAAATCAGAACTTAAAATGTGCTATTTGTGGCTGTCAGTTTTTATTGGTGGAGGACGCCGGAGTGCACGCAGAGAACCACCATCCTTCGGAAAACTGACAATCTTAAGTCAATTAAGATTGGAGTCGAGTGCACCTGCCATGTGCGGGATTCGAACTCACAACCCTCAGTGTTGACTGGCTAGTGATACAGTAGTGGCCCCTCAGTATTCATTATGTATGTATATTTCTTTCTTCAAACAATTCCAATGTATGTAAACCTGTTTTTTTTTTTTTTTTTGGAATTTCACCTTTCTGTACTGGCTAATAACAAACATGTTTGAGGTCAAGTGTTGTTGTGTGCATAGAAATTGGTCAATTTTATTAACCATATGTACTTGACCTGTCTTTAATTTAGGACAAAATTAACTACATATATATAGGTCAGTTGGTTACAGTTATGATTGACGATATTTTAAATTGACTATTCTATACTTATTATATGAGAAAATGATAATGCTGTTATATCAAGAGAAAAAAGAAGAAACAAATAACCAATTAATTGTTTACTATTTATATCATAGATGTATTTATACATCTATACTCTTGACTTAAGTGCACTGTCTAGGACTAATATATTTAACATGTGCCCAACCTAAATACTCATGTAATATTGATACAGTTAAAAGAATAACAAAGATATATTTGAATAAATTAAAGCTTTCTAGTCAAGTCTTAAGAGTCCATCCAGTGCAGTCTAGTCCTGTCCACAGTCTAGTCCAGTCTAGTCCTGTCCGGTTCAGTCAAGATATTACACTTTGGCTATTAATGTCAGTGTAGAAGTCCCTAAGCAATTGTTGTATATTAAAAGTGTGAAAAAAATTGTCAATACAGAGAGATTGTCAACTCCTTTTAAGAGGCACCTCAATTTTGGACATACAATTGCACTATGACCTAATCATGCAGTTGTTAGTGTGGGTGTTTCAGAACATTGACATGGTGTTCTAAATATAGATTGACAACAGTGCATATGTATTTACTTGGAAACTTTTTGTTAGTGAAGTCAGAAAAAAACAACAACAAAGTAAACAGTCAGATATGAAAATTAGATAATATGATATTTATATCTTGTATCTACACTGTACTAGCTACAAAATTTTGATAACATTAATCAAGGTATTTCATCCTGTAATATATGAAGCACATGAGAGTACATGTGAGGATTTTGACATAGTGACCCAGTTTGACCTAGTTTACACAAACAGCAGTGTAACCATGTGGTTTTTTACAGGTTGAAAGCTTTTAAAGTTGTGCAGTCTTACATAATTATTGGACTTATTAATACTTAGTACATGTACTGATTCATTATATAATACTTAATCGATGATGATACATAGTGTCTACTTATAAGTAAGATTTTCACGTCTACTTTCAGTTTAGTTTTGTTTATACCTAAAGGATCTTAGTCATATGGATATAATTGACTCTGTGAAATAACAAAATAAGTTATAAAGGAAAGTGAAAATTAAATTAATTAATTTTGAAATATATTTGACTACATCTGTAAACAGAATGTAATTTCAAAGGAAAGTGATAATTCATTGATTACTTTTTAATTAAATTCATCTCTGCAATTGGTCACTTTGTAAAGCACCAATTTGTAGTGGTCATCTTTTCTGACTTTGAATTTAGATGCTGATTTGACCTTTGTCATTGAAGACATTCCTTGAAGTGTATCAAACCCAACAGACCATATCATGTAAACATAGTAATGAGTGATTATTGACTAAGCCATGTGGTAGTACAGGTAGGATCAATCTTTATCTGTTCTGGGCAGTTATTATCTTACATTCAATGGGTAAACAGAGTGTGAAAGCAACGGATACTATACAAACACACAAACTCTCTAATGGCCACATTAGTGTGCCAAAGGAATTAAGACAATTATTGGAGACCAAGGATAAAGTATATGACCAATATTCAAAGGAATTTACAACTTCTGAAGGGACCAGTCGGTTTAGGCTTGAAGAAATATGTGGCGTGTAAGTAAAGTTTTTTTGATCAATTTACTTTTTCATGAAATTCTCTTTTAATTAGATTTGTGAAAAAGTGTCACTTTGAAAATATTTTGAGGAGAATATGTATGAGATTTTTAGTTACCATGGTCTGAAAAGGTCATGTTTTAATGTGGATGCAGTGTGCCTTTGGTGTAAATGTCCATTTATTCTTCTTTTGTCCAGTGGCCCACATTACATTAGGAAATAATGGGTCTCATATACTGTGGATTTATTTATTTTGGTGAACATTTCCGGGGATTGAGTGAAAAATATATTTTCGCGGGTACTTAATATTGTGGTTTGAATCTATTTTACACATTCGATCCTTCAGATAATATTTATTTTGTTGAATACTTAAAATTGTGGATAACATTGTCCCACAAAATCTATAAAAATTTTAAGTTACCCCACAAACAGTAGTGGGTTCACAATATTTCTATTCACCATTGGTACATGTGACACAGTGACAGACTTTTGAGGCCAGAATTAGATACCGGTACATTGTATATTAGTTTCTCAGATGGAGATTATCTCAATTTCTCAATATGGACCATAGAAGAAAGTAAACTATTCCTGAAGTTTAACTTGTGACCAGAATTTCAGCTGAAAAGTTTTGGTTTACATCGTATTTTAGTTTTATACTGATCAAATAAAATATGTTGTTGGCCAATACTCCAGAATTGTTACTGAAGTCCATAATAAACATATTTTTCGTTCAAATAAACAATTTCATAAAAAACAATCAGTGGATATGAAATAAATAAAACAACACAACTTTGTTTAGTTCATAAAGGTTAGTTATGGGTCAATCAAGTCATTCTTGTTTACATACCAACATGTGGCATTTTCCTTCATTCTGATTGGTCAATTTCACCACACCTCCAGATTCTGTAGGATTAGTTGCCACTGTTGTTGTTATTATTTACACTGTTGAGGCTTATTGATTACCTAATAATTCTTTGTATGATATTGTACACTAAATAAATAATTTTTAAACCAGTACATCTATTCAAAATAAACATGGGGAAACACACATCTGTGTTGTAAATAAACAAAGGAAATTGGAAGGTCAATCTGTTAATTTTGTAATGATGATTGATAGCAAAATAAATCAGGCCATTAGTTTTCTCCTTATAAATTATGTTTTGTACATAAATCAAGCCGTGATTTTCTCGTTTGAATTGTTTAACATTTGTCAATAAGTGCTGTTTATACCTTGCTACGTGGTATGGGTTTTGCTTATTGTTGTGACGTATAGTTGATATCCTTCTACGTCATTTGGTTTCTGGTAAAGAGTTGTCTCATTGGCAATCCTCCCCATATTTTGTTTGCAGAAGATTTAAATTTAAGTGACTGAAATACAATGAGTGTAAATTCTATTCATTATAAAAGTTTGAAAACTGAAAAAAAATATTATAGTCAGGGTATAAAATAGCAATGGTTGTTAAAACAATGATCACTTTCCTGCTAAAAAAAACATGAATGACCAATGAAGGTCATTTACCTGTTATTATGGTGATGATAGGATTGCCTTAGGAAAACTGATTTATATCTTAAGTTAGTGTTCTGTAGTGGAAGCAGAGAGACACTTTTAATTACTTTAAACAATACTAAATATAACTCTTTTAGAAATCGGACAGGGCTAAGCAAGGATAAAAATTCAGTAAAATTCCAGTAATTAACATGATTAATGTGAATGCGATTCATCTGTATAAATATATCACAAGATGCACATGTAAAGTTTTGTCAAATTGTTATTGTGTACCCTTCAATAAGATGTTTATGTATCTGTCCAAAGTTTAGATTTTTTCTCTGAGTTTGATCGATCGAAAATTTGTAGTTGGTGTCATATATATATAGTCATATTTTTATCTAGCTGTAAGACTCAGAGACATTAGACTTTGCAATACCATAAAATAAGGCACTTCCCTAGGTGATGGTTGTTGACTTATTGTTAACATTAACCCCACATCTCCCGGGCCTTCATTCTTTAAGAAATTTTACCATATGCAACATTATTTTCTTATATGTCTATTTAATGTGTATGTCTTTTAATTGTATCAATGTGAAAATATAATTGTTAACACTTCAGATTTTACTTGACAAAGAATTTAAAACTGTACAGGATATGTAAATCTATATCTTCATTCCAAGTACACATCCTGTGATTGTATTTTTTACTTGCTCCTCAAATTGTTGCTTACTACAGGAAACTTCTGAATAGATTGAAAAATAGTGACATATTTGTAGTTATTAATTTTAGTAAAATAGTTTTAATAGGCCATTGCCAGGGTGTCTTTGAAGGGGGTATTGGAGTTCATGACGCTCAAACTTCAATTGTCAAACTTCAGACAATCAGAAACTCGACTTAAGTATAGCCTTTGATAGAATTTTTTGTTTTCAGGGGGTAAGGGTTCGTCTAAACCACCTCTGACTAGGGTGTTTTAAGTATACCTTTAAATTTGATCAAATTTTTTACCATTAAGTGGCACACCTTCACCAAAAAATCTGAAGATTACATTCCTCTCTGGCTTGATAGGAGAAAGAAGAGAAAGGGACTTTAGTCTTTATGTTGTAACCTTGATATATTCTTTAGATATTTTTTCAAGGTTATGTGACATTTCCATTACATTCCAAAGTACTTTTAATGTGAAAATAAATACAAAGATTTAAATTTTATTGACATTTTGACTTTGATGTCAGCGCCTCCAACCAGGGAGGTACATTTGTCACTTTTGTGATCTTATACCTATATATAATATATATGAAATTCACTATACATTCAAAACATAAGCCCACTCATATGGGTTGTTATTCATGCAGTATTCATATATTCTTAAATCTACTGCAATTTGTTTGCCCAGGTTTTCAAGAAGTTACGTAAATTACAATTTCATTTTATTAATAAATTTATCTGCAATTTAAAGGATTTACTTGTCATCTTGCTATGCAATCTATGCAATCTATACATGTATAGTATGATGTGACTTTAAATTACATAATATTTATTTGCTTCTATAATCTGAACATTTAACTTATCGAAAATGTTTTAATTTGCCCATTAGTGATTGTGACACTAAATTTACCTGATGAGATTTCATTTGAGAGTTTATTTTAAGATATTTTAACTATTATCATGGGTATCCTGAATTTTGGATGTCAGCCTAAGATGATAAATTATGCAATATAAGATATGGTTCCCTAGTTTTGCCAAATTTAGATGAAGTTAACCAATTCATAATGTCGTTTTTTGTACATACATCCTATTTGTTTTAGTTAAGACATCGTTTACTCTGATGTGGATATCCAAAAGAGGCATTCCAAACCCTCAGTATATTTTTTTTGTTGGATAAAAATTTACCCTTCATATAATAGCCACATAGCCTATATAGGAATAACTGGTCATGCAGTCATGTTATTTTCTTGAGCCTGGCATGCATAAAACCTTCTTACAACTGGCAAGAGAGATATTCTTTACCCATCTTTGTAAATGTTTTGGTATGATTTTCACAAAAATATCTATGCCATTCGTTATATTAGTAACATAGAACGGAAATAGTTAATTGTTTTACAGTACCTCAAAAAAACAAGATTCTTTTACTTATTAAAATGTCTGCAAGTTATTATATATGAAACAGTTGATATAATTCCAGACTAATGTATTTTCAGAGGTATCAGTAGTATTGTAAGAAGATGTGTTAGTAAAGATACAGGGCAGGAATATGCCGTCAAGATCATCGACATCAGCGGTGAAAAGGCGGAAGACTTCCAAGCTGATCAGACCAAACGAGAAACCATCAGGGAAATTAATATCCTCAAGATGTGTGATGGCCATCCGAATATCAGTAAATATGATTTTTAAACCTTATGATCTAGCTCTTTATAGGTTTTCCTGAAAGAGGAAGCGATGCACGAAAAATGGCTGACTTAATATACCTACCTACATTTATCCTTTGGCAATAAAAAAAAAAAAACAAGGAAAAAATATATGTTTTTAAGGGGAAGGTGGTGGCATGGGTAGATAAAATTCACTTGCCATTAAAATGTTTTAATAAATGAAGTGCTGATTTAGCTCGCAGTTCAGGTAAGCTTGTCCTTATAAAAAATGTGGTTGTCACTGGTCTGAGTGGTAGACCACTTATTTCTACTCCTTTGAAGAGATTGTTTACAACACCATAAAACATGTCTTATAGGAAAATTATTTCTCAATGACTTCCACAATTGTAGACAGGTCTGATGTATGTATTCCTTATTTGGGAACTTGTCATTGTGAATTATGTAATGTGGACTACATTAAGTGAAGGTGATCTATTCAAGGTATCCAATAGCCATCGGCTTATTTTGTCCACAGGACATGTATTGACCTGCTCTTGAACTTCTATAATCAGGAAATATTAAATTATGCATACAATAATGCTCCTAAATATGTATCAGTTCGTCCAACATCATAAGATAATTTCACTGTTTCCGAATCTATAGAATTATGGATAATTTCATTGTTTATTTCCGAATGTAAAGCGGATTATAGATAATTTATTGTTTGTACATAAAATGAAATAAACGATAGGTCATTGGTAAAGAAATCCATTGTTTATTGTATTTTTGAAAGTTTTTGAAAATATTACCAAGAATGCATTACATTTTGAAACAGTAAATTACAAATTAGTTTTCTCAAAAGTCCTCCTTTGGCCTAAATATCCTGTTTCCAAAACTTTTCTGTATGTTATAAAATATTTATTTGATCAATATTATATATCAGCTTCTTGGGTCATTCCAAACTTTCACATTGTATAATTTCTATTTTCAGTCAATCTCCATGACTCATTCCAAACTCCTACATTCATTTTCCTAGTATTTGAACTGTAAGTATTTTATATTTGTATAGATTTGGAAATTGTTTAAGGTTTTTTACATACTACCAGTGTTCATTAATCATAAATCAGAAAAAATACAAAAGATTCTGTCAAAATATGAAATTGGCTTTGAATGTATCTTAGCTATGTATTAGATATGAGTGTTAGCCCCATTGGGTGTATCTTATTTACACAAAGGATCAATTTGAATAATTTAGGTTGGATTCTTTCGGCAATTTGAGCTTGTTTTATTGTAAAGCATGATAAATGCTGCTGAGGATATCCAATAACATTTAATGACATCTTGGTGTAAATTATGCTAAACAAGGTTCAGTGAAAGCTAATGTTTGTAATGGGTTATGACATGATACATGTACATGTTTTGATTAAAAAGAGATATTGGGTATATGTCAATGAGACAGCAACCACACAACACAAAAAACTAAAAGACAACCAGATATTTAGGTACATTCTTCACCAATAGACAGGTGGCTTTACAATATGTCTACCTCTAAATAGTCCTGAGTCGAATAAAGTTATGGATAAATCAGACAGAGATGATCAACATTCTACCATCAACACTCAAATTCTCTAAATAACAAAAAACTTGTTTTGAATGACAATATTTGAGATTATGCAAAACATGAGAAAGTACGTAGTCTAGTACAAAAGTTCATTGACCTGAGCTTCTTAATGCCAATGCCGTATTATTGACAAAGATTACGTCACGCTACACCATACATCCCATTGGATAAGAAGTAAAACAGGTCACCTAGATTTCCTGATTAGTAAAATCCATTGTAGAATTCATAACCAACTTACATTTTGGAATAGTCCCGAGTATGTCAAGTGATGAATGTTAGTTCTTGTGGACTGATTGGGATTAGGTTAAGTTAGTCAGTATTTGTTCTATTGGATTTATGATGAGTTTCCTTCATCAATCCTTTCGGAAAGGACATGTTCCTAAAGATTAATGTAACTTTAAAAACAGACAGTTTATTTTACCAGCTTATAGTACAAAAAATAATTTTCAGATATCGCATCTTACGATTTTTTTGTTTGGGAAAAGTGGGTCTTGTGGATTGAATAAATGAAGCTAATACTGTTCTATTGCTATTTAAATTTTCTGCAAAAAATATTAATTGAAGTGTAGGGGAATACATAGATGCCAACTTGCTATATTTTGGTTTGAGCAGCTCAGTGAGGGTGGATTGGTTGTTAACACCCCCTTTTATGTGAATATTTTACAGTATTCTCCCAGTTTCAGCATTGGTTCGTTGTTTATCTTGTAAATTATCTTGTAAACAATGATAGGTTATTGACAATACATGATTTTTTTATATAACAAAATTCTGCAGTTGTGTAAAGTTGGGTATTGTTGTTGTCACCATTTTTATCTGTTACAGTAGATATAAAAATAAGAAGATATGGTATAATTGCCAATGAGACAGCTCTTCACCAGAGACCAAATGACATAGAATTAAACAACTATAGGTCACTGTACCCTTCAACAATACTCTGTTTTCAAGCAACATTTTTTTTTCTGTTTCCCATATACTTATACTATTTCTAAGAGCAATCTAATCTTTGCCCTTAACCCCAGGCGACTCACTGTAAAGAACCTAGTTATTTGATAGATTGTTTAAATTCACTTTCATCATGAATATATATGAAATATTTTCCCCTTTACATTAAGCAGACAATCAGGCAATAATGGTTGTATTCTTTTTGGGGCCGTTTATAGCTTGCTGTTCGGTGTGAGCCAAGGCTCTATGTTGAAGGCCGTACTTTGACCTATAATGGTTTACTTGTACAAATTGTGACTTGGATGGAGAGTAGTCTCATTGGCACTCATACCACATCTTCTTATTTCTATTTTGAATGCAGATGATAAGAATTTGTAAAAATACAACTTGCTGAAAAAATTGAAAATTTAGAATAAACAGTACAAGATTGGTTTTACAGCTTCATCTGTAAAAAATTCATCATAATAACATATGTCTTCTATCTTAAGGTTTATTAAAAATGGTGAAACCTTCATCCTTAGATTTCATAATCAACTACATCATTTAATTTGTTCTCATCCTTAATATACATGAAATATTTGCCACTGGATGTTAAGCTAACAGTCATTCAATCAACCACAGCTTTAAGGAACTTATTTAGATGTTGGTGGAATTTGTGCTTTTCAACTTTATTTTTTAGTGGGGAGGGGGGTCTTGTCTGTTGCCAAAACAGTTAATCATTCCTGTTTACATGTGACCACTTTTTACAGTAGAATCAGAAGTAAAATAACACTTCTGCTTATCAGTTACTCTGACAGACACAGTTATTTTGAAGTGAAAACAATTTGGCATTGAACCTGGGTGTATAAGAGTTTGGCCATGAACCAAAGGCATCAGGCGATTCTGAATAATAACTTTTGTTACGTAGTCATGTGAAGAAGTAGACACGTGAATAAGTATACAGTTAATAAGTATACACCTTTGTTTTCAAGTAGACATGTGAATTCAACAACATGTCCAGTCATCTTTGTTTTTATTTCTGTTCATATTGTTTTCCATTGGGGTTTTTTCTAAGCTAGTTTTATTAATCTTTCACAAGACAAATGTCCAGAGTCTCGAGATTTTTCTGTGATTTACTGATTTTAACATTTACACCTCATTAAATATTATTGGATATCTTGCTTTTATCGTACTTTACCATTGAATAAGGTATTGTAAGTTAGATACACCAAATTGGGTCTACCCCTTATGGGTGTATTTAAGTTTGTAGTATTCTGTATCAAGTTCCCAAAGTGTATGCAATTATTGTCTTCATATTTGTTAGACTGATAAAAGATACAATTGCAGTTGTATCAGTAATTTTCTTGATTATTGCAGATTTGAAATTATTTATTATATCTTAGAGTAAAATATTTGATAATCTGTATTTTGCCAAAGTTTTGATACCTGTACCAAGTCTTCAATCACTACTTATTCCAACTCGGATCACATGAGGAACTTTTCTGTTAATTGAAAGAAAAAAATTTTAAGACATCTGTGTTTTTCTTTATTCCTGTATTCCTCTTTTAGTTTACGGTATTTGTAAACCAGTTTTAATAAAATTAACCAACAAAAATATGGATTTCTGGATTTAATAACCTCCTTCACAACAGGTGGTGACCTAAGGTCAGCACAAAGGTGTAAACATGTTTTGCTCTGTAAATGTAAACAACACTATCATGTGATAATGATTATAATTGTACTGACCAGATGACTGTGGTCAGTTAATGTAAACAATGTTAGTCAGTCAAGGTTATATGGTCATATCTGTTTTGTTTACAATAATTTGTCAATAAACATGGAAAAATTAAGAGCAAGATTTGATTTTTTTTTGTCAGTGTTGGTGCAGAATCAATATTTCCATGATTGAGGTCAAAAGTTTACTGCCAGTGTTACGGTGAGATTGCAATGCAAGCTTAAATGATGTTAAGTCACGGAACCCTTTATAAGTCTTACAATATTGTTTTGGTTTTTTACGATCAAGTCTACATGACTTAATTAAGCTATAAAATTTAAATGGTATCTGTTACTCAGTGGTGGCAGCTGTGTTACACATGTTCAACAGAAATGAATGGAATAGAACATTTCTCTTGTGAGAAACCAGTTACTTATAAAAATGTTTTATTTTTCGTTACAGATGTAAGCAGGGTGAATTGTTTGATTACCTGACACAGGTTGTAACATTGTCAGAAAAAAGAACTAGGTAATATTTAATTTAACAGTGGAAAAGATTTCTCACTACCTTTATACAATATTCTACTTTCATTTTAGATCACACCTGACTACTTTTTAGACTTGACTTCTGTTGCCCCCACAACATCTCTGTTGATTGTTTTCATTTTATACTATAAATACTGCTTAGCAGCTTCCAATGTTGTTTTCATTTTCTGCTATACATCTAAAGAGTTAAGAAAAACTTTCGTTCTCTAAAATTTTCTCATGACAATTAAAAAAAAATAGAAAAAGCTTCATTCCTTTTTTAATTTAGAATTTTGCTGCCACAAGTTGATTTTAGATGATAGATATCAAATTGAAATAAAACAAATTCAGGAGATACTTATTATAAAAAAGGATATCCAATTTGTATGGCTTCATTTAAACTATACATTTATGTTGTAACATCAAATGATATATTAGCTAATATTCATTTTGACATAAAGTTCAATGCCTGCAATTTTACACGTAATCCCATTTATTACTATTGATATCTACAAATTAAATTCACAGGTTTTTTCCATTTAAATTTAATGACATCTGATATGTAATAAAGGTAACCACATAACATCACATTACGCCCTTCAGGAAATCCTTCAAAGGTCAAAATACATTTCCTTTTATGTTTCTATTTGTGGTTAAACTTTAAATGTGCAATTATACAATAAACATGGTATGTAGTGTTTGCCTTGAGTCACCTTAGTTTACCGTATATACAATGGGAATACAATTTGTCAAGTTTGTTGCTATACACATGATACAGAACTCAACAATATTTATTGAGTTACATCACAACAAAAATAAATGTTTGTACTTCAAACTTTTCCTGGGAAAAAAAGCAACAGTACTCAACAAATTGTAATAAAGTTACATCACAACAAAAATAGACGAGGCTTGTAATTCTTATTACTTATTTATGGGAAAAATTGCATCAGTACTGGATAAATATTTATTGTGTTACATCACTTACATAAATAGATTATCTTTAACTTTCAGTTTTCAATACTAATTCTGAGTATCTAGGGCTATTTAGATAACTGCTTGATCTTACTTCTATTTTTCTATAAGTAGACCCTGCCTTCGGAAAAAAGTAAAATAACAAAAATACAGAACTCCAAGGAAAATTCAAAATCGAAAGTCCCTTATCAAATGGCAAGATCAAACTTAACATTTACATATTCATAAAATTTACATATTCATAACTTTTAAATTTAAATATCCATAAAAAAAACTCTGAACTAGTGATCTTTATTTCAGATTGTTTCTCAATACAAATATTGCTGTCTACTTTACTCTGTTATAACATAACAGACTTTCTGACTTCATGCAGAAAGAGCTCATTTCCTTCCATATTAGCAGAAGCAAATTCAGATTCAACCAATTCTTCTCATTCTAAATGATACTTCACCATCCTCCAAAAGTTATATTTCAGATAAATTTATTGTCCCTAAATTGCATGAAATATTTGCCACTGGGTATTAAGTGCCAATCTGCCTAAGAATCAGGCAGTGGTGAATACATGACAAACAAAAACCCGCTCAAGTTGACATTAATTTATGTTCAAAATGTATAATGATGCTCAAATATAACAGTTGTTTCCTTTTCCTGTTCTGGTATTTCAAGATATAATTTGTTGAAATTACCAAATAAGGGGAGCTACCTCAGTAATTTGCTATCATTCTAACTGAAAGTTATTTAGAGATTTCTCAAATTACCAGACACGCAGAAACAATAGACCTACCATTTCTAACTCAGGACGAGGGTAACTCCAAAATAGGATGGTTAGGTCAGCAGGATTTTTTTTGGGGTCATGTTTTGAAATTCTTATAAATTGCTTGATTCTTACACTGGTTGGAGATTGGCACTTAAATAAACATCAATCAATCAATCAATCATATAAATTTAAAACCCTCTGGCCGTAATCCTTGTGTTTTAAAATTTGAAATTTAACTGTCTCACATTAAAAAGTATCCAGGCTTACTTGATATAGTTGTAGAATCATTATTGGTCTTTTCAGGTGTGCACATGTTTATAGTATGTCCTCTATATTACATGAAATACATTAATTTTCTTTTACAGAATAATAATGAAACAGTTATTAGAAGCAGTAGAGTTTATACACAAGAAAAATATTGTACATCGAGATTTAAAGGTAAGAATTTTAATTCAAACTTATAAATCAAAAGAAAAGAAAATGAAAAAAAGGCAAAGAGATAAAAAATTCCTAACATATATTCAAATGAAAAAAATATGAACTGAAAACTACAATACTTAACATTATTAACCATAAAAAGAATCAGATATACAACATTTGGTGTGTGATTTTGATAACTCTTAAACACACCAATTTTCTGAATTATAATAAGATAACTAATTCAAATTTGCACATAATGTTTGAAACTATATTTTCTATCAGTGTCTCCTCATTTGATACAGTTTTGTCTCGCCTGCGGGACATAGGGATTACAATCCTGCAGCTGTGGATAATTGTTGTATATCCTTTTTCTCAAAGACTTTCAATATAAATTCAATCACGATAAGTAAAGCAGGCGAGACATTTTAGCATGTGCACTCTTGTTTTAATATTCATTTGCAATTTTGAAACAGGAAGCATAACAAGCATTTTTACAAATTTGAAAACAAGAATATTTAGATCAAAACATATGTAAACATGCTTTATCCCTTGGCATCAGTGGTAGGTTTCAGATGATGTTAAATATTTTTTCCAGGATATCTGCACAAGTTTGTATTTTTATGTTACATCATCAATTAAAAAAAAAAAAAAAAAAAAAAGAATATGAAAAGAGTACGTGTAAACCTTTGTGGAAAGCTTATTAATTACATTTTCCTAGTTAAGTTCACAATGATGTACCAAATTTTTGTTTCTGATTTCAGCCAGAAAACATTTTATTAGACGACAATTTAAATATAAAGCTATCAGACTTTGGATTTGCTACAGTATTAGGCCCAGAGGAAGAATTAACAGGTAAATGAGTACATAGAAACCTTATAGAAGTTTTTGTTGCAATTAGACAGGTGGTCAGTTTAAACAAAGAATATCTGTTGTTGGTTCTCAGGTAATACTCAGAATTCATGGTTAAACAGATTTCTTGGTAGTTTCCATGGTAAATCTATAGTAGCTAAAATAAATGTCTACTGAGATATTGAACATATCTGTAGACTGAGTGAGCGATGGGGATAGGACATGAGGTAGTCGTTGAAGTCTATCGTAAATTTACAACAATGCAAATTCTTTTCATTAAATTTTGAATTGTACTTTTTTGCCACAAGGATAAAACTGCTGACTTCTTTGTTTCATGTAGTTTTGGTTAAATAAGGAAGACAACTCTTAATAAAAAATAAAAACAATCAAAATACAATATATACTATATGTGAAAATAAGGTGTTTATGGTGATATTAAATGTTTAACTTCAACATCTAATCTGCAGTGGTAAAAAAATTTATCTAAAAATGAAGTCATTAGAAAAATTGGTGATGGTGTACAAAAATGAAATTTATACTTTCAGAATTATGTGGTACACCAGGTTACCTAGCCCCAGAAGTCTTAGCTGTGTCTATGTATGAGAACGTAGCAGGGTACAGGCTTGAAGTAGACATGTGGGCTATAGGTGTGATAATGTACACACTCCTATGTGGAGCACCACCTTTCTGGCATCGTAAACAGATGCAAATGTTAAGGATGATTATGCAGGCTACTTATTCCTTTGGTACTCCTGAATGGGATGATATATCACAGCCTCCAAAAGATCTGGTATGCAAATTATATATACTTTTATTAACACAAATAATTCAGTCGTTATTCTGCTGCTCTATGATTGCTACGTTACTGCCTGAAGTCATAGTCAATAAAAGATCTTCAAATAATCATTTAGAATTAGCTCTAACAGTCGATCACAGGGAGGGCCAGAATTATTCAGGTTATGATTTAAGGAAAAAATAATTGACACAAAGCTGATAAAAATAACAAATTCCAGTAATTTCATGGATTATTTGTGTTTTAAAGGGTTTCATACCTTAAGTGTTTCATTTTAGGAAAATATCTGAATGTGGAAAAAAAGCAAATGTTAGTCTAAAAACTGAATGAAAAATTTAACAAATCTATCCTGGATCAATATTAGCTTTACAATAAATAAACGATTTCTGTTTTAACCATGGTCAATGGAAGTATTTTGACTGTACTACAATGTAACATGTGTTGTTTTTCAGATATCTAAATTACTAGTCAAAGATGCCAAAGATAGATTAACTGCCACCCAAGCTCTTCAACATCCATTCTTTAAACGGGAGGTTAGTACCATCATACTATCTAGACTATGATATTTTAATTGTTTCAGTTCTGATCAGAAGTTCATACTAGCAGTCCTAGAACTCTGATTTTTTAGCAGAGAAACATTTAGAGCATAATGTAGAGGAGTTTGTGGTTGATTGATAAATTGTGTATTGTCTCTGTTATACTACACCAAAGTCAAAACACTACAATATTTGTATTGATAAACAAACTGAAATAAAGATAACTAGACCTGAGTTTTTATGAGTATATGATTTTTGAGACTTATAAAAGGGTGATGAGTGAAAAAAGTGATATGCTAATAGAATACTATTTAAAAAATAATTCATATAAATTTCCGGCACACAACAGATGTAATACTAATACTAATAAAGAATGCACACAATACACATAATACACACAACAATAATCAAAATGCACAATGTTTGTGTACATCATGTGCAATTATAATTAAAGAATGATTAATTTGATTTTGATGAAAAAAAATATTTCAAGATAAAAGCATCTTTAAATTTCAAATTCTGAAAACTTATCTAAATAAAGTATATGGAACAGGATTTTAAATTTATGTTATGCATATGTAATTTGATGTGAGGGTGTTAAATTTAAAGAATTCAATTTAGTTTTTTATTGCATACTTAAAATAGTTGATTTCAAATGTGATATAAAAAAATAAAATTTCTACAGGGTCTTTAACAATTGAAAAGTTAATTTTTTTAAAATACAGATGTAGATGAATATTTAACAGAATTTCATTATTAAATGAAAAAACCTTTTCTAAGATATTTAATATTTTAAGTATGCTTGTGTTTATGAATGTAGACTAATTTCTTTGTTGAGAAAAAAGGAACTTTTCATAGAAAAGTCAATTTGTTCAGGGAAAACCTTTACCTCCACACAGTACATTTATTTTTATATAAACATATTTGAAGTGGTTTGAATTTTGACTAGACCTTAAAAAATTAATGACATAACTAATCATTGCTCATTGGCTCTATTTAACTATGATAATGTTTGGGATATTTAAATCTTGATTATAAAAAAATTAAATTTGATTTCTTTGTTATAGTATCAGCTTTCCTCATATCTCTATTTTTAACATGTTTATCTTGTTAATTGAGTAAGAGTTTGTAATAAAGTAATAATTATATGACATAACATCTCACTTGAGTATTTATTACACCTGAGAAAGTGATCAAAAAGTATAATTAGATAATAAAAGGCAATAAATGACCAGTAGTTGTGTGTGTCCAGGTAGTAAACAGATATGACAGGTTCTATAGAGGAATTTAGCCATAAAAAGGCTTGTGAAGATGAAATGGGAGAGGTCAAGGAGGTACAATTTTTTTTAGTTAAGAGGAAAAATTATAAGAATAGAAATATACATGAATATAAAACCATGTTAATTTGCATTACGATTTTTTTAAGTATGGTAATTAACAGGTTATGAAATTTTTGTCACTCTTTTAATTTAAATATTTGTATTTTCAGTTGAAACCAGAGAAGAAATTTTACCCCAGGAAAGTGTTCAAGGTGAGATTTATTTTTAGTAGTTATTGTGAAACAATACAAAAAAAAATCAAGTTAAGAGAACAACTTGTTGGAACGACATCTGTCACACATCATATTCACACATTATAAAAAAATATGTGTAAATGATGTTTACATTGAGCTATTCAAAAGGCAAGATGACCGCAAATAGGGGTATAATAATCCAGATGACCACTAATTGAGGTATAATAGTACAGATGACCACTAATTGAGGTATAATAGTACTGCATTTGCCATCATCAAATTTATTTTAAAGTTTCCTGATGAATATTTGCAGGGCAGAAAAGATTGTTATTTTTTCTATATAATGTAAGATTGCTTAATTGGAATACATTTAATTCCAGTTTCAACAACAGACACTGCATTGTATCTATATACTTTCAGTAATACTTAATAACTCTCTTAAAACACAAGATTTCATAAAACAATCCATAATGACAGAAGGTGATTTTTCTCAAGACACAAAAGAAGTCAATTACATTTATTCTAAATACAAGTAAATTGTATGGTAATATAGTCAATGGCAGTGATGGGTGCAAAAGCTTTATCAAATCCCTGAATAATGTCATTTCACATGAGAAACATCTATTTTAGGTATATAACAAAGCAAATATTGTGTTTCCTTTTTCAATATCACACTTTATAATCCTTTGTGCAGAGCTTTTGGGATTTTATTGGTACCTCTGGGTTCATATAATGTGTGATATTGAAAAAAGCCGTTTGATGTTCTCTATCTAAAATGTATAGGCAAAATAAACTACTTGTCTAAAGTTGATTGAATCTTGAAGTTGTATATATTATATACCAATCATTCTTGAATAACTGTTCTTTTATCATTTCAGGCTGCTGTTATATGTGTGAACTTTTTCTATAGACTAAGATTTTATTTCAACAATCCACCTCCGATTTCGAGAGAAGTTATTAAATCTAATCCTTATAGTGTCAAAATGATCCGAAAACATATTGATGCATGTGCATTTAAAATGTACGGACATTGGGTAAAGAGAGGAGACAATCAAAATCGTGCAGCATTATTCGAGCATTCGCCTAGAGACGATTGGAAAAATGTGAGCCTAAATACAAAGACTCAACTAATAATGATTGATTTATGATTATAAGTACCTGTTTTTAGGTATATCAACATTTTATACTCAAATCTCAACAGATTGCCAGGTATATTTTAAATCCTCAGCAGACAGTGCAAGAATTATCAAGTAATCGGTTTAACAGATACAGTTTTCTGTATGCACAGTCTAAACATTTAAGTGAAATTTGTATTTGGACTTAAGGAAACAGTGAACTAAATGCTATCTAAAGTTTATTCTGGTTGAAAACTTATAAACTGGCAATGAAAAATTTTATCCAGGAAACAGATACAGTGCTAAACTAGTGTTCAATGCAATTATTTGATTTTTGTCTGTGTGACCAAAAGTGAAATCATATAAAGATTTTTCTTGTTTCTTGATTGTGATTTTGTTTTAACTTTTATTTGGTTAATTTTTTTTTCTCTCAATGTTTTAACAGTGCTGTTAACTGGTTGAAAAGTATATCATTAAATGTAGTCCTGAATATGGTGAAAAAAACTGCATTTCTTGTAAAATCTGGGTTTTGTTCTGTTTAGTTGGCTAATTGAAGAATTTTGCATGAAAACAGTTGGGTAAAAATAAATTGATAATAGATATAAAGTTAAGGGTTAAAATCATGCCTGCCAACTTCTGCTTAAATACCATGTTAACTCTTTTGAATACCTGTTTTGAGGTATTCAGAGTGTAAAATGAAAAGATATCCAGAGTCAGGTCAACACCATTCATCATGGAGAAAACCCCATATCAATTGGGGAAGTTGGCTGGTCTGGAAAATAGACTCCAGAAGAAAGGAGTTCATAATTTAAAATGATTGGTTGATTTTTTTGTATCATCTTTGTTATACTACTTTAAAATACTAGTTAACCTAAAAGGAAGAGAAATTAGAAGTCTGATATCTGCTATAGGCCTGTTCTGACTTTAAATTTTTGTCATTTTTCTGTTTATAAAATGTTTTTCATAATTGAATTTATAACAAGGATGTAACCTCCATATGTATGCATTATTCAGGACTGCTGTAAAAGAATCGTTTGGAAACAATTTTGAATGCATCTCCCTTTTTCCAAACTGTATTATTTGGTTAATAAATTTTCATAGCAATATAAATAGGGCAATAGTTAAACTATTAAAATGTTTCTTCATGCAATTTCTGATCATGTTATTGTTTGTTTTTTGTTAGTGTTTAATTGTTCAAGATATTCAAATAGATTTACATGATAGAAAAACTTCTTGCTCTTTCGGCTCAAAACTTGAAATGCTCAAAGCTGTCTGCTCATGCCAATGACTGTACATGCAAAAAAATATTATTTGATAAACAGGTGTGCTCAGATTTTTTAATTAATTATTTATTGATAGAAAATATGTCATGAAATTTTGTACAATTTTTTTCTTTTTGGTTCTTTAATTTTGCATTAAATGCATGCAGTGGACCTTGCCACCAAAAATACAGGAATTTTTGGAATTAATTAATTAATTTCTTCTTTGCTTAAATTCAACAAATTTATTTTTTTTAAACCACATTTGCAGTAATAAGAGGGAGTTTTAAAAGTTAAATGTCTCAAAATTGTATAACCCTTTTAATCTGTTGAGCTTGTCCCATTTTCACATTTACATGTATATAGCTTTTCATTAAACTTATTTATTTTTATCATTATGTGAAAGTTAAAGTTTGCCTGAATTGTTATTATGAGTATGTCTGTCTGTTTCATTTGTAAACATGTTGTATTATACTGTGGTTTCATTATTATTTGTTGGATACCAATTTTCTGGATTTTGTTGGAAAGAGGAATAGTGAATTTAATTCCTTAGTGAAATACAAGTTTGTAGTAATATCAATAGGAGCAAGAGGAAACCATGAACTAGGTACCATGAAAATAACAATTCTTTCTCAAGCTAGGAAAATTGATCCCAACGACTATAAAGTGAATCCACAGTCGATATTATCATCAGTTGTTAGAGATTGAACAAACCATTTTAACGTGCTACTTTTGAATAAAAAATTTAAACCTTATTCTCCATGTTCTTAATTCTTGATACAACTTAGGTAACATGATACATGGGGAAGAAGTAAAAATAAATGGAGAATGTGTCCATGAGACACAGATGATGCCCCCGCATAACATAACTCAAGAATTGTAAAAGTGACACCACCCAAATTTGAACTCGTTTTGAATTTTGTGGTAATAAGCATTGTGTATAAGTTTCATAACATTTGGTTGAGGCAAACTTAAGTTAGAGAATGGAAATGAAAAATTCAGCAATTTTTCAATTTGTAAAGGGCATAATCTAGAACCGTAAAAGTGATGCCACCAAAATTCAAACTTGATCTGTGTTTTATGGTAATAAGCATTGTGTATAAGTTTCATAACATTTGGTTGAAGCAAACTAAAGTTAGAGAACAGAAACCAATTTCGGGACATACATACAGACAGATAAGGGTAACACTTAATGCCCCTTCCGCTGCAGAGGGGGGGGGGGGGGGGCATAAAAATGAAAAATGTCCATTACAAATGTACATTAATATAAGGTAAAAGAAGGGATAAGGTGCATTTATTTATGACATAAATTCACATCACTCCTGTGACAAACCCAAGGCAAAGGAACATAACTTTTATTGCTGTTTTCATCTCAAAATATCAGTGAGCCCTTAAACACAGATCAATACCTTGCACCTCACTTCAAGTTCAAGACCACCCCTTTGCCTAGGAAGAGCTAATATTCCTTGGCAAGATGTCATTAAAGCTACATCTGTGCATTGGAGAAGACATATGCAGGGTAATATCAACAAATTATAGACTTCAACATGCAAAGATATCTAACAAATACTGCTATAATTTTCCTGACAATCTGTTGTCAAGTTCAGAAACAATACAAATATGTGAACAACCATGGGATACATTCAAACATTTGTTGAATAGCAGCATAAATAAAGCAAATAATTCTGATGGTCTGCACAGCAATACCAATAGGTATACAAACCAAAGGAGAACAGTGAAATAGTATACATAAAACTAATTATCTGAAAAAAAAAAAAATGTGCCATAACTGCTAATAAAATAAAACAATTTTATCTTTCAACCAAAAACCTCTGACAACCTAAGGGCATAATGATAATTATTATGTAGATGAAATACATCATCTGGTGTACCAATTTATAAGACAGGTATTATTGATGAGTTTTACAATCATTGGGTTAATGCCACTGCTTTTGGACCTTTTGTTCCCAAGGGTATCACCAGCCAAGCGGTCATCATTCCAGTGTTGACAGTTATATTGATATGGTCATTTTGTGTAAATATACGACTTTGGAGTTCGTGCACTTTCCTGTATATTTCCTATGTCACAGTGATTATGTTATGTCACAGTAAGAACCCATTGTTCAATGATGTCATTTACGAGGTCAATCTGTTTAGCTCATTCATACAATACAACTTGAGCTTGGTGTATATACTGTTCATGAAATCACTAAGGTTCTTCTACCCCATGCACAGATTGCCTTAGCCAGATTTGACACAACTTTTTGGAAATTTTGGTTTTCATTCCTCTTCCTATTTGTTTGATTTTTCCTTCCAACTATTTCGATTCAAGCACCACTGTTGAGACTTATGTAGATGAAACCACTAAAGTGTGTCTGGTGTCCTACATTTATAAGCCTGTTATCTTTATCTGTTGAGATTTTATGATACTAGTTTTAGTTGTTTCCATCAATTGGTACAATGTAAAGTAAAAAGAGATGTGGTATGGTTGTAAATGAGACAACTATCCACCAGAGAATAAAGAATGAGGATGAAACCTTATGGCCTTCAAAAATGAGCAAAAATAAAACGACACCTTAAAATATATCTGTATTTGCTACTTCTTGTATGCAGTCTCAAGCAAAATTACACATCAGGATATGTTATTCTAATGTGAAAAATACAGGTGTTTATGAATTGCAATCATTTTCTGTAAAAAAACCTCAAGTTTGAAATGAAAGTCATTAAGTGACCCAAATGTGCATATAACCTAATCAGTCATATAAGCATGAAATGTAGGTCATAGTGACAAAAATGTAACTGGTCATTGTTGTACTGTACAATTACTGTACCAACACTAGTTCATGAAAACTTGAAAAGTAATACATCTCTGCAGAGTGTCTAATGATGATTAAAGTCATTGTGTATCCAGCAGCCTGTTCATTGATACAAACTCCAAAGAACCACATACATACACCAATTGTTTTGCAGATATTTTGGCTTCCAGAATATCTGAGTTTAATGCAGAAAATTAACTCTGGTCACAAAATGGTTTGAAATAAATTTTTCTAGTCAACCTTCTCAACTGCTGAAAGCAAATTTCAATAAAATTCACCGAGCCAATTTGAAGCCTTCAATAATTGTCCCAAGCAAACTCATGAAAGCTGACAGCAGTACTGTGTGTATTCATGTTGAAAACAACACACTTGTCAACAAAACAGTTAAGTTAATACTCAAGATTAACAATAATTATAACACGAAATTTTACTTTTTATTGCATGTCGAAATAACAATGAAATTCTACACTTTTTTTACATGTAAATATTTAATGCTAACATTAACAAAGCTGTATAACAATATTTCTACAATGTTTTTGGCAATAACATGACTTTTCTGTCACATGACAATATAAAACATTTATTTTAAAATTGTAAAATGATTATAGAATAACTACATATGAATTTGCAGATTATGAAGATGGAAAGAATGCACAATCAGGGACAAAATAACATGTAAATCAATAAAAATACATGATGAGTTTTTGCTAATGTTTCATCGCAAGCTAGATATTCTGTATTTGGACTAATGGGTATTTACTCTATTACACTGATTCTGGTCAACAAGAATGCATGCTTTATCGTGTTAAGCCTACCCTAACTTTTATACATGTATCTGATATCCGCAAAAGGAAGTAATTGTTTTGATAAAACTTAAAGAGCCCACTCAACTTTCAACTCATTGCTATCTAGCTGCTGACCAAATATGAAGTAATTCTGTAGGGACTAGGGAGTACTGAAAAAAAGTGTGACCAAACATTTTAAGCTCATTTCACATAATGAAATATACAACTCATCACGTTGAAGCTGCTGACCAAATACAAAGTCATTCTGTTCAGTAGAACCTGAGAAAAGCATTTAGCTAAGGAAAGGACATCCTGTATTCATCTTAAATTGTAATCTAAATTATAAGTATTAATGATTAGAGTTTCATATTCTTAAATTTCATAATTCAAAAGACTACAAATTGTAAATACACCTCAACATGCACTTTCTGGATCTTTTTAATTACAATACATGAGTACTTATTTCTTATTGCATTATGAAGATTCCTTATAATAACTATTTACTAACTTTACAAAAACATGAACATATTAAAATTAGCTCACACATAATTTATGGAAGGAAAATGTCTTATAGCACTATAATTACTGTATGATTTCTAAAAAGCTTCACTCTATGCATAAAAATTTATATTTGTCTTTATATTAATATAAATGAGGGTCTGGATGGAGTTCACAGAATAAAGAAAAAACAGGCCAAAAATATTTAAAATAGAGAATAAATGGAGTGCTAAGATATAAAGGATAAAGAATAATGTTATAATCAGACTTCTCATTTTAATTTTTATGGCTCACAAAGATGCCTTTAAAGCACTTGCTCGACAAAACTTAAATGGGACAAGTAAACTTAACTCTGTAAAAAAATGTCCACCAAATTTTAACTTTGAGGTATTAACAAATTGAAACTTGATAAATCAATGAAACTATTATACATGTACTTCAAATTTGAAAGACTTCACTGTCAAAAGCGTACATCGCACATTGTGAATGGTTCATTATGCTTAAACAATGAAATATAAGCCAATGATATAAAGGCATTGATATTTGTTATACACACAATGAAAATACTTTTCTACATGATCTATTTTAAGATTCTGTAATAACAAAAAGTTACTTTTTCACAGAGAAAATTTCAAATATCACTAATATTTGATAGTGACCAATCTTTTGAAAGATTTGTCTCCCCTTCATCATCTGCCTTTGCCTTTATTATTTCCAGTAAAAGATCTTTGTTCAGTCTGGTTAACTCTGGTAAATGTGCAACCTATTGAATAAATATAGGTAAAATCATTAAGACTATTATTTGTTTATACTCCTTTTGGGGGTTTTCAATAGTTTGAAGAAAATTTGATATTTCAACTGAAAAACATTTTAAAAGATATTTAAACCGAGATATGAATTAACTGCACATCTCATTGGCAATCATACCACATCTCCTTAACGTTATATTCTTAAGCAGGCAATTCAAAAAGGATGATAAGCTTAAGGATAACTTGTTTTCTCTAATTCTGTACCATTTCTGACCAGTTTTAATTTTGATAAAACACACTGAGCATTGCAGTCAGCATATTTCAAATCAATATTTACCACTTTAACCTACTGACAAAAATATCTATCCACTCTTGATAGTAAAATGTTTTGATTTTTAAAATGCTCTGTAAAGGTGTAATACCACCAAATCATAGTACGTCACATCCGGTTGCATACGAAAATAGGTCGAAAAAAAATATTCCCTTGAATTTGACAGTTGTAGGTAATTGATCCTACATTTCATTGCAGTAAAACATTTCTGAGTCATAAACATATATCTTGGGTATTTCAAAGCACCATTATTTCTTTATTTGGGGTTCTATAGAATATTTTGGAAACTTGAGGTTACATGGTTACTAAAGCTTGTACACAGGTTAAAAAAGGGGGAAAATTTGATTGGTTAACTTCCAGTGATGGTTATTTTCTTATATGCAATGAAATGTTATGTGAAATTTTTTCTATAGTACTGGACAGGATAAAACTTTACTCATGCCAAGTATTTCTTTATTTGAAACAAAGATAAATTCTGCACAATTTTTTGAAAAGTGCAAATTTAACAAAGACTAATAGGGGAAAATCAATGGTGGTATTACACCTAATATGGGAAGCTGTACATGCACCTTTGATCTTGTGAGTACTCTCATGTGTTAAAATTTCTTGCTATTTAAGTGAAATATTACAAATAATGAAATATTCTGAGTGGATTGAGTCTCCAAAATACATTTTATGAGAAAATTTCCTTGAAATAGGACTTTACCATGAATATTAGTTGACAGAACAAGCCATACTTAGAGTCTTGGGGAGCTTTTTCTCCTTATTTCTTATATTCTGCTATACTAGAAAATTTTTCCTAAGAAATACTTTAATAAATATATAGTTTTAAGTAAATGAAATTATTTATAAAGCAGTAACAACAAATTATTCACCAAAAGAGAAGTTTTTTATGTCCCTCTCTGGAACGCGGCGTAAATTTAAGTTTTACGCAAGGACTTATTGAAACCTCCTTGGAGACAGTAAAATTTTATACGGATAGTTCAAGCAGCTTGAATACTTCAATTAATCATTTATAATAACATTTCTATCATAAATGAGTGAGAGTTACCCCAAAATTTTTATTTATTGGCCTAAAAAGTAGAAATTTTGAGGAAATGAGAGGTATAAATGGACCAAAAGAGACTTTATAAGGAAGAATAAGAGGTCCATTAGTAGTATTTATCATCCTAAAGTCATCTTTTGTATCATATTCAACTGTTTGTAGGCAGATGAGATAAATATTTGATCATTTATTGGTCCACACTATATTCTATCATGATGCGGCTTGGTTTGAATTTTTCGAAGAAATTTTGCTCGAATCGCTGTAGATGTCGTCTTACATTATACTAGATTTTTCTCAAACTATTGAACTGATTATGACAAAACTTGACAGGAATGCTTGAAATAACCAGTATTACAAAGGAAAAAAGTCACATTCAGTTTATTCAACAAAAAAGTCTTCTTTAGGTGTAATACCACCAAATCATAGTACGTCACATCCGGTTGCATACGAAAATAGGTCGAAAAAAAATATTCCCTTGAATTTGACAGTTGTAGGTAATTGATCCTACATTTCATTGCAGTAAAACATTTCTGAGTCATAAACATATATCTTGGGTATTTCAAAGCACCATTATTTCTTTATTTGGGGTTCTATAGAATATTTTGGAAACTTGAGGTTACATGGTTACTAAAGCTTGTACACAGGTTAAAAAAGGGGGAAAATTTGATTGGTTAACTTCCAGTGATGGTTATTTTCTTATATGCAATGAAATGTTATGTGAAATTTTTTCTATAGTACTGGACAGGATAAAACTTTACTCATGCCAAGTATTTCTTTATTTGAAACAAAGATAAATTCTGCACAATTTTTTGAAAAGTGCAAATTTAACAAAGACTAATAGGGGAAAATCAATGGTGGTATTACACCTAATATGGGAAGCTGTACATGCACCTTTGATCTTGTGAGTACTCTCATGTGTTAAAATTTCTTGCTATTTAAGTGAAATATTACAAATAATGAAATATTCTGAGTGGATTGAGTCTCCAAAATACATTTTATGAGAAAATTTCCTTGAAATAGGACTTTACCATGAATATTAGTTGACAGAACAAGCCATACTTAGAGTCTTGGGGAGCTTTTTCTCCTTATTTCTTATATTCTGCTATACTAGAAAATTTTTCCTAAGAAATACTTTAATAAATATATAGTTTTAAGTAAATGAAATTATTTATAAAGCAGTAACAACAAATTATTCACCAAAAGAGAAGTTTTTTATGTCCCTCTCTGGAACGCGGCGTAAATTTAAGTTTTACGCAAGGACTTATTGAAACCTCCTTGGAGACAGTAAAATTTTATACGGATAGTTCAAGCAGCTTGAATACTTCAATTAATCATTTATAATAACATTTCTATCATAAATGAGTGAGAGTTACCCCAAAATTTTTATTTATTGGCCTAAAAAGTAGAAATTTTGAGGAAATGAGAGGTATAAATGGACCAAAAGAGACTTTATAAGGAAGAATAAGAGGTCCATTAGTAGTATTTATCATCCTAAAGTCATCTTTTGTATCATATTCAACTGTTTGTAGGCAGATGAGATAAATATTTGATCATTTATTGGTCCACACTATATTCTATCATGATGCGGCTTGGTTTGAATTTTTCGAAGAAATTTTGCTCGAATCGCTGTAGATGTCGTCTTACATTATACTAGATTTTTCTCAAACTATTGAACTGATTATGACAAAACTTGACAGGAATGCTTGAAATAACCAGTATTACAAAGGAAAAAAGTCACATTCAGTTTATTCAACAAAAAAGTCTTCTTTAGGTGTAATACCACCAAATCATAGTACGTCACATCCGGTTGCATACGAAAATAGGTCGAAAAAAAATATTCCCTTGAATTTGACAGTTGTAGGTAATTGATCCTACATTTCATTGCAGTAAAACATTTCTGAGTCATAAACATATATCTTGGGTATTTCAAAGCACCATTATTTCTTTATTTGGGGTTCTATAGAATATTTTGGAAACTTGAGGTTACATGGTTACTAAAGCTTGTACACAGGTTAAAAAAGGGGGAAAATTTGATTGGTTAACTTCCAGTGATGGTTATTTTCTTATATGCAATGAAATGTTATGTGAAATTTTTTCTATAGTACTGGACAGGATAAAACTTTACTCATGCCAAGTATTTCTTTATTTGAAACAAAGATAAATTCTGCACAATTTTTTGAAAAGTGCAAATTTAACAAAGACTAATAGGGGAAAATCAATGGTGGTATTACACCTAAACTTAGCCTTAAATTGGAAAATTCTACCATCTTGAGTGTGGTAATATCAACTTTGACTGGATAATCTATCTCTTTATAATGAATAATTAAAAATTCTGCATAAGTTGGAACACTGGTTGTATGTATTAAGCTTTGCTATCACAAAAAAAAAAAAATTATAAATCAAATCAGAATATCATACTCACATTCTGGAAATTATGAACCATCAATCTTAGTGCATGCTTCTTCATATCTAAAGCCTGGATCTTATCAGCTGCTTCTAAAATCTGAATAAACAAGCAAAGTTATACATGTATTTTCAAAAATAATTTATTATACTATTGGCACCGAGAAGTCTGTGTTCCTCATCTCGTGTCTATAAAATTACTGTTTTAAATATACCAGAAATGTAAAATAAGCATCAGTCCATTCAGTTTTCAAAAATTACCTGTGTTTTGATTCAGGCCAAGTTTTATTTATATTGGCCTAATTCTCTCTGAGGCTCCTATGATGGTGGGTAATGCATGGTAATGAATATATTTTTACATTTCCCTTAATAGTTAAAAAGAGAATATGAACATGGAACAAATACTATAATGACTGTCACACAGAAGATAAAAGCAAATACAAAAATGTATTATTTTAATTTATAATCATATCCCTTACAATAGGTTGCTAATATAAAACATTTATAAACTAAAATCAGAAACAGAATAAAGCCACAGTTCTTGATATGATGGGATTTATGTTGCTCAGTCTTAAGTTTTCTGTATAGTGTTTTGTGGACCATGGTGTTGTCTGTTTTGTTTTGTATTTTAGCCATGGTGTTGTCTGATTTTTTCTTTAAGTCATGGCATTGATTGATTTTTGTCTTTTAGCCATCGTGTTGTGTGGTTTTTTTTAGACATGGTGTTGTCTGTTTTTTATTGTCTTTTAGCCACAGCATTGTCTGTTTATTTTATCTTTTAGCCATGGTGTTGTCTGGTTTTATTGTCTTTTTGCCATGGTGTTATCTGGTTTTATTGTATTTTAGTCATGGTGTGGTCTGTTTTTTTTTTTATCTTTTAGCCATGGCATTGATTGTTTTTTTGTCTTTTAGCCAAGGTGCCGCCTGGTTTTATTGTCTTTTAGCCATGGCGTTGTCTGTTTATATTGGTTTTTATCCATGGTGTTGTCTGGTTTTATTGTCTTTTAGCCATGGTGTTGTCTGGTTTTATTGTCTTTTAGTCATGGTGTTGTTGTCTGTTTTTATTGTCTTTGGTCTATGGCGTTATCTGGTTTTATTTTTTTTAGCCATGGTGTTGTGTTTTTTATTGTCTTTGAGCCATGGTGTTGTCTGGTTTTTGTGTCTATTAGCCATGGTGTTGTCTGTTATTTTGTCTTTTAGCCATGGTGTTGTGCGGTATTATTGTCTTTTGGCCATGATGTTGTCTGTGTTTTGGTATTTTAGCCATGGTGTTGTCTGATTTTATTGTCTTTTAGCCATGGTGTTGTCTGTTTTATTGTCTTTGGGCCAGGGCATTATCTGTTTTTTTTAGCTATGGTATTGTCTGGTTTAATTGTCTTTTAGCCATGGTGTTGTGTGTTTTTTTGTCTTTGAGCCATGGTGTTGTCTGGTTTTTATGTCTATTAGCCATGGTGTTGTCTGTTATTTTGTCTTTGAGCCATGGTGTTGTCTGGTTTTTATGTCTATTAGCCATGGTGTTGTCCAGTTATTTTGTCTTTTAACCATGGTGTTGTCTGTTTAATTGTGTTTTAGCCATGGTGTTGTGTAGTTTTATTGTCTTTTGGCCATGGTGTTGTCTGTGTTTTGGTCTTTTAGGCATGGTGTTGTCTAGTTAGATTGTCTTTTAGCCATGGCGTTGTCTGATTCTATTGTCTTTTAGCCATGGTGTTGTCTGGTTTTATTGTCTTTTAGCCAAGGCGTTGTCTGGGGTTTTTTTTCTTTTAGCCATGATGCTGTCTAGTTATATTGTCTTTTAGCCATGGCGTTGTCTGATTCTATTGTCTTTTAGCTGTGGTGTTGTCTGGTTTTATTGTCTTTTAGCCAAGGCGTTGTCTGGGGTTTTTTTTCTTTTAGCCATGATGTTGTCTAGTTATATTGTCTTTTAGCCATGGCGTTGTCTGATTCTATTGTCTTTTAGCCGTGGTGTTGTCTAGTTTTATTGTCTTTTCGCCATGATGTAGTGTATTTTATTGTTTTTGGCCATGGTGTTCTCTGTTTTTTGGTGTTCTAGCCATGGTGTTGTCTGTTTTTTTTTGTCTTTTAGCCATGGCGTTGTCTGGTTTTATTGTCCATGGTGTTGTCGAGTTTAATTGTCTTTTACCCATGGAGTTGCCTGTTTGTTTTTTTTTCTTTTAGTCATGGTGTTGTCTGGTTATATTGTCTTTTAGTCCAGTTATATTGTCTTTTAGCCATGGTGCTGTCTAGAATTATTGTCTTTTAGCCATGGTGTTGTCTAGTTTTATTGTCTTTTAGCCATGGTGTTGTATGTTTTATTGTCTTTGGCCATGGTGAAGTCTTGTTGTTTATTTTGTCTTTTAGCCATTGTGTTGTCTGGTTTTTTTTAGCCATGGTGTTGTCTGTTAAATTGTGTTTTAGCAATGGTGTTGTATGTTTTATTGTGTTTAAGCCATGGTGTTGTCTGTTTATCGTGTTTTAGCCATGATGTTGTCTGTTATATTGTCTTTTACCCATGGTGTTGTCTGTTTAATTGTTGTTTACCCATGGTGTTGTCTATTTAATTTTCATTTACCCAGGTTTTGTCTGTTTGTTTTAAACCATGGTGTTGTCTGGTTTGATTGTCTTTTACCCATGGTGGTGTCTGTTTTATTGTGTTTTAGCCATAGTGTTGTCTGTTTTATTGTGTTTTATCCATGATGTTGTCTGTTTTATTGTCTTTTATCCATGGCGCTGTCTGTTTAATTGTCGTTTACCCATGTTGTTGTCTGCTTTATTTTCTTTTACCCATGGTGGTGTCTGTTTTATTGTGTTTTAGCCATAGTGTTGTCTGATTTATTGTGTTTTAGCCATGATGTTGTCTGTTTTATTGTCTTTTACCCATGGTGTTGTCTGTTTTATTGTCTTTTACCCATGGTGTTGTCTGCTTTATTGTGTTTTACCCATGGTGTTGTCTTTTTATTGCTGTTTACCCATGGTGTTGTCTGTTTATTTGTCCTTTACCATGGTGTTGTTTGTTTTATTGTTTTTTACCCATGGTGTTGGCTGTTTAATTGTCTTATACCCATGGTGTTGTCTGTTTTATTGTCTATTAGCCATGGTGTTGTCTGGTTTGATTTGACTTCTGGGTTTGCTTGTTCCATTTGTATCATGTTCCCCATTTTCGAAATGTGCAAACTATCTAATTGCAAATAAAGATCAAGAAATGCAATAACAATAAAAATAACTTCTTAATTATTTTCATGACAATGTTATATATTTTTCCAAAATAACTTGTAACCATTGTTAAAAGAATACATTTGTTTTGCTGTTGCTTTACTTCAGATACAGATTTCATTTTATACAGTCATTTACCAGCTTGCCATCAATGGGATTTTGCCAGGGTGAAGATTAAAAAATCAACATAGTAAATTAAGGTTCTACATACCTGAACAACATTCTGTACAGATACATTCTTTTCCAAATTATGTTTACAGTAAGCCTACAACAAAAATATTATTTACAATTTACATTGGACAAATGTAGTTGAAATAAAAATGCTAAGCTCAGTAAAACTCCCAATTTTTATTCAAAGTATAAAAAACAGAAAGTGTAACAGTAAATCCAGTTCGGTAGTAACATTTATCCCCAGGACTTTGTTTCCTAGGTAATCAAGTCCATGACCATAATTTTACTAGCAAAATAAGTCCCAGGATAAATTTTCCTAGGAAAGTAAGTCCATAGCTAGTAAAATATGTCTGGCACTTATTTTTCTAGTAAATATTTTCCAGGGACTTACTTTTCTGGTAAATTATGGTCATGGAGAATTTTTCATGCATATTTAGGTAAATTTTCAAATTTGTATCGAACTCTTCTGAAAATGATACAATCATAAAAATATAAGCTATTTGAATAATGAAATAAATGAAGAATGTGTCCATGGGATACAGATGATGCCCCAACTTGCATATACCATTATAAAGGGGCATAACTAGAGAACTGTAAAAGTGACACCACCCAAATTAGAACTTGATCTGTGTTTTGTGGTAATATAAAGCATTGTGTATAAGTTTCATAACATTTGGTTGAGGCAAACTAAAGTTAGAGAATGGAAACCAATTTTGGGACGTACTTACAGACAGACAAGGGTAACACTTAATGCCCATTCCGGGGACGGCAGGGGCATAAATAAAAATTTAATTTTTTAGTTATAAAAGTCCTTGTTATAATTTTTTTCTAGGAAAAAAGGGACCTTTAAAATTTCAATTCTTAAGACATTCCTAAATTTTAATTCAAATTTGCATAATTATTCCTTCAATAGTAAAATAAAGAAACAAAGATTTTTAAGCAATACAAATCATAAAAGTCTGTGATATCAATTTTCCTAGGAAAAAAAGTTCTGTGTAATTGTTTTGAAAAGCACCCAATGTCATATTTTACTATAATGCTGAAAGATTGATGTACAAATTAACTGTTAGAAAAAACTAAACAATTTAATATTTCATCGGTTACATTTTTAGTTCAAGGAATTTTCTTAGTAGCATAAAGGACATTGACATTTTTACCTAGAAATATTAATGAAATGGACATTAATACCTTGGAAAATTTATCTGTACACATTAATTACTGACATGGGACTAAAAATACTAGTAAATTCTGTAACCATGGACTTTTTATACTAGCAATTTGTGTCCACCCCGACACATTTTTACTAAGACTGATTTATCTCTTACAGAAGTAGGAGTAATGGCAAATTGTTGAAATTGATTAATAAAGGGTTTTTTACAGACAAGAAAACCTGAATCGATACTTGTCTTACTGTAAGTGTAATTATAGTATCTGACCAAACTAAGCTTTAATTGTGAGAAAATTAATATTAGAGAGCCAGGATATCTTCTTCAAATGTTTTATTGTATTCTGACAAATTGTCTTGATTTTGATGTAAACTTTACCTGTAGTCTGTTATTGGTGAACCCATAGAAATGAGGTGCAGGGAACAGATACAGGGAATCTTCTGGTGGCATTGTTGTATCACTGTAATAAATGTACCGTAACAAACTGTCAAACGCCTGTCTGGAGGGAATCATCTCTCCAATAGCAATCTGTAAATCAATGTTGTGATATTAATACATTTTATATAAAGAAGACTCCTTTGCACACAATACTGAATATTAAAAGATATTTAGAATTGTCAGTATAATGTGATAGGATGTCACTATTCATTTCAAATTATGATCAGAAAAAAACTTTCAAAAGTTTTCATACTTTGAAACAGCACAATGTTTACTACTCAACTCATTATGTTTCCAAATAGCTATATGCAATTGAGAATAAATGAATGGTCATCACCCTATACTCAATCTAAACTAGAGGTAATGTGAGCAAAGAAAAGTGTTCAGGCCCTAGCGAGTGGAAGAGTCAATCACAGGAAGGGACTGAGTTATTCAGGTCAACATAATTGGTACATAAATAAAATGAAAGATAAACTTACAGTCACTTTATTATTTTCTGGCATGGACCATCTAAACAATGCTTCAAAGTAACTACATCTGGCAGATAGAATAGCTTTGTGTGCTGGTATCTCTACACCATCTAATACTAATGTTACATCACACAAATCTTTTCCTGCAGAGTGTAGAAATGTCTCCAGGTCTTTCTCAAGTGATCTTGCTGAAATGAAATAAAAATAAAAAAATACCAACTGTCATGGATAGCTTCCTCAGAGAATGGATATAAGTTTCCAAGGAGGATACATTATGCACCTTATTTATTATGTAAATTTAAGTTTTACAAGATTATATGAATTTCATTTGAAATATTTTATAGAGGTTTTAAAGGCTGGAAAAGAGACAAGTCAAACATTTCTATATAAAATGGTAAAATTTCTAACTTTTGAAACACATTTTGAATACAAAAACATCAAGCAAATGATAATTACAAATGATTTGACTATTAAAAAAATTAACCAAAATCAATGTATTTTTCTAAAAAAAAATTCATTTTGGCAGAATCATGATTTTTAGTGGAATGTGGTTTTTATGAAATATGAGCCATGTTACTTACTCTGGGAACAAACAGAGTAAAATCATGATTGAATAGTTGTTATTCTTTTTGGTTGTCATAAAATGATAAAATTATGGGCAAAATGTTTTATCCAGCATTGAGTTTGAAGATAAATCACAGCTAAGATTACACAAGTCAAACAATCAACACTAAATATATAAACCAATGACCTGTTCCTGTAGTGGTTCTGGTTACACATTGTCTGAAGGAAAGGGAGATAACCTAGATTGATAATTCTACCATAAGAAGTATAAACTGCTATAACACTTATCCATGACCGAGTGACCTGTAGTGCTTTGATAATACTTTAACCAAGGATAGGGAAGATAATCTTAATTGATGTTTCTGCCATCAGAGTTTAAAACAGAAAGTACACTTACCCATGACCTGATCCTGTAGTGGTTCTGGTATTATTCTGACAGAATGAGGGGGAAATAACTCTCTCCTGATAATTCTATAAAACTTACCCATCACTTGATCCTGTAGTGGTTCTGGTAATATTCTGACAGAATGAGGGGGAAATAACTCTCTCCTGATAATTCTATAAAACTTACCCATCACTTGGTCCTGTAGTGGTTCTGGTATTATTCTGACAGAATGAGGAGGAAATAACTCTCTCCTAATAATTCTATAAAACTTACCCATCACTTGGTCCTGTAGTGGTTCTGGTATTATTCTGACAGAATGAGGGGGAAATAACTCTCTCCTGATAATTCTATAAAACTTACCCATCACTTGGTCCTGTAGGTAATATTCTGACAGAATGAGGGGGAGATAACTCTCTCCCGATAATTCTATAAAACTTACCCATCACTTGATCCTGTAGTGGTTCTGGTAATATTCTGACAGAATGAGGGGGAGATAACTCTCTCCTGATAATTCTATAAAACTTACCCATCACTTGGTCCTGTAGTGGTTCTGGTAATATTCTGACAGAATGAGGGGGAGATAACTCTCTCCCCATAATTCTATAAAACTGACCCATCACTTGATCCTGTAGTGGTTCTGGTAATATTCTGACAGAATGAGGGGGAGACAACTCTCTCCTGATAATTCTATAAAACTTACCCATCACTTGATCCTGTAGTGGTTCTGGTAATATTCTGACAGAATGAGGGGGAGATAACTCTCTCCTGATGATTCTATAAAACTTACCCATCACTTGATCCTGTAGTGGTTCTGGTAATATTCTGACAGAATGAGGGGGAAATAACTCTCTCCTGATAATTCTATGAAACTTACCCATCACTTGGTCCTGTAGTGGTTCTGGTAATATTCTGACAGAATGAGGGGGAGATAACTCTCTCCTGATAATTCTATAAAACTTACCCATCACTTGATCCTGTAGTGGTTCTGGTAATATTCTGACAGAATGAGGGGGAGATAACTCTCTCCTGATAATTCTATAAAACTTACCCATCACTTGATCCTGTAGTGGTTCTGGTAATATTCTGACAGAATGAGGGGGAGATAACTCTCTCCTGATGATTCTATAAAACTTACCCATCACTTGATCCTGTAGTGGTTCTGGTAATATTCTGACAGAATGAGGGGGAGATAACTCTCTCCCCATAATTCTATAAAACTTACCCATCACTTGATCCTGTAGTGGTTCTGGTAATATTCTGACAGAATGAGGGGGAGATAACTCTCTCCTGATAATTCTATAAAACTTACCCATCACTTGATCCTGTAGTGGTTCTGGTAATATTCTGACAGAATGAGGGGGAGATAACTCTCTCCTGATGATTCTATAAAACTTACCCATCACTTGATCCTGTAGTGGTTCTGGTAATATTCTGACAGAATGAGGGGGAAATAACTCTCTCCTGATAATTCTATGAAACTTACCCATCACTTGGTCCTGTAGTGGTTCTGGTAATATTCTGACAGAATGAGGGGGAGATAACTCTCTCCTGATAATTCTATAAAACTTACCCATCACTTGATCCTGTAGTGGTTCTGGTAATATTCTGACAGAATGAGGGGGAGATAACTCTCTCCTGATAATTCTATAAAACTTACCCATCACTTGATCCTGTAGTGGTTCTGGTAATATTCTGACAGAATGAGGGGGAGATAACTCTCTCCTGATGATTCTATAAAACTTACCCATCACTTGATCCTGTAGTGGTTCTGGTAATATTCTGACAGAATGAGGGGGAGATAACTCTCTCCTGATAATTCTATAAAACTTACCCATCACCTGATCCTGTAGTGGTTCTGGTAATATTCTGACAGAATGAGGGGGCGATAACTTTCTCCTGATAATTCTATGAAACTTACCCATCACCTGATCCTGTAGTGGTTCTGGTAATATTCTGACAGAATGAGGGGGAGATAACTTTCTCCTGATAATTTCTACCATCAGTGGTTTATCTAGAGATTCAAACTCCATACTATTTACAATCTGGTTGCAGTTACTCTCCTTTACTATAAACTTCAAACAGTATTCCTATAAAATAAAACAAGAAGATGCATGTGTTGTTCTGTGATGTATCTCCCACTAGTAATTACATACTTACAAAAAACTTTGCCCTTAACAGTTATAATGAAAATTTCAAATATTTTTTAACTAGAATTGACTGCCTGTCAGGTTTCACCATTGCTTACAGTTCAAATCAACATAAAAAACTAAAAACCCAAAATTTTCCTTAATACAGAAGTTGACTGGTTGAGTAATATAAAGCAAAAGTTGAAAAAGGATGGACAGGCAGACTGCACAGGTAATAGCTGTATACCACCTACTCACTGAATGGGTGTTGAATATTCCACAAAATATGACATCACACATTCACATTACTGGATCTTGAAATTTCGGCAAAAGGGGAACATATGTTGAATAAAGTAATCAATATTTTGTTAAAGTCAATAAATTTGTTTTAAAAAATCTTCCACAAAACAATTTAAATTAGTACAATCCTATTCTCCAAATACATGTCATACTGTGGATTCATTTATTTTCGTGGGTACCAATTTTCGTGGATTGAGGAAAACCTGCATTTTCGTGGATATTTGATTTGGTGTTTTGCCAAAGTCTGCATACAAATCTATAGAAAGTTTGTTACTTCATTAAACATATAAAGTTGTGGTTCACCTTTACCCATGAAATCCACGAAAATTGGTATCCAATGACTAATAATGAATCCACAGTAGGTCAACAAAGAGAAAACAAATGTTCAGGAGACAATATATCTTATTATATGTCCTGGTAAGTAAAATATTATATAAATAACACATAGCTGAGAGGGTGATAGAACAGATTGTTATCCCAAGAAAACATAGTCTATTTAATTTATTATACTGAATGTTTTTTTAATACTGTTTATTAAATTTCAAATAAAAAGTAATAAACTTGTTCATAACAACCATCTGGCCTTTTTCAATTTCTTTGTTATCTCTTTAAACTACATGGTATATTGAAACACATTCTCTGAATATAAAATGTGAAAAACGGCCGATATGTTGTTAAAAGGATGTTATAGCTCTTAGGCAAAGTAAAGATCACAAAAGATTTGAATTACTCTGCAATACACTTGTAGATCTCAAATAAAACTTGGTAGCAAGGATTTTAAATGTACAAACCTTTATTGAATCAAGACTTAGTTTAGCAGCATTATGAAGAGCAACCAAGACATTTTTATGGTTAATACAAGATTCTAAATACTGTATACAAAGTTGTTCTAGTCTGCCCATTTGGAACTGAAAAGAAATGACACATAAATTTTATTTTAAAGTTTTGACACACAAACATGTTTCAGAAAATACACTCCTTTAAAAAAAAGAACATATGTACTTACATGTTATCTTATTATTGTTTTAATATAAGGAATAAACTTTGAGCAGCATGTTATATTGCAAGAGCCTAAGATTGTGATAAGATGTATTACAACATTCTTTAACATGCTTGCAATAGACCAATCTTCAGTTGTTTTTTTATGAATGAGTTACACCGGTTGACCTGAGATCAATTGGTATTAATAATGTCATTGAACAATCAATTCTAACTATGACATCATATCAAAGCATTGTGACATAGATATCATGTTTATGAAAATATTTAGAATGTTACAGACATTGAGGGCAAAATTCATGCAAATATTTAATAATTAGTGAGCAATATTTTTATAATTTCTAAAATTTTAGATGTTCAAGGAATTGTTTCCAAGAATAACTAGTAAACATATTGCCAAATACTGTATTAAAGTTTAACACAAAAATCCATGGGAAGTATTTCATCCTTTATAATTAACAGAGAAACTGATTTCCTTTCATGAAATTCTTCAACGTCAATAGAATATTAAATTTCACGTATGACAGATACACTTGACTTCTGTGAACTGTGTAAGATTGACAATTTTTCTCCTGCTGATTCTCAATACAGGTATTAATCAAAGTACAAGATTTTTGCGGAAAATTATTAATCAAAGCAAACATCAATGTATCCTAGATTTAAACAGAAAAAAAGAGTCATTTTGGTAGTGTTAATTGTGACATACTGCAGATTCAAATTATTTGTTGGATACAAAGTTTTGTGGAATTTATGGGTACTGGTGAACCACATATACATGTTCAACAAATTACAAATTTTCTATAAGGTTTTATGCAGTCTTTTCAAAACCACAAAATCTAATATCCACTAAAATGCATTTTTTTAGTAACCACAAAAATTAGTACCCATAAAAATTAATGAATCCACAGTGATATCTAGACCAATAATTCTGCTTTTCATCCAATATCTGTAAAGTTCTCTAGAGCTCTGACATTTAATGCCACTTACCTTAATAGATAATCTATACACATCCATCATCATTAATATCACTTCATTACTATTATGTTCTTGGCCTGTAATAAAAAAAAATATTGGTTCTTTACACTATTTTGGGTTTTAGTCAAAAATCCAGTAGACAATTGTTCAACTACAGCAGGAATGAGATTGATAAGAGAAGCATATACAATATGCTTTTTCAGTAATGACATATAATGGTAGATTTTAACAAGAATGCATGCCTTGTTGTGCTAAGCATACCCTCAATCATAATTCAAACTATTGGTAATACAATTAACACACAAACTAAAAAAGGTCAAAGTTTGTGAGTCAAAGGCCAAGTTTACACATTGATAACAGCTAGAAAAATATGTTTAATCCTTATAATTCTCAACCCAAACATTTACTTTTCTTTATTTTTTCATTTGAACTTTCTTGGAACCCCAGGATTCCATCATGTGTATAGTGCATGAATATATCAAAGTGAAATCCACACAGTGTTCAATATTATACCATATTTTCCAGAATGTAAGGTGTCATTTTTTCCCCTAATGTTGTATCTTATATTCTGGGGCACTTTTTTGATCCATAAAAATACAATTTAATTTGTATAGTTTCTATAGTAATTCACCCCCTAAATGTCACATGCAACCTGTAGAAAAGGTTAAACATTGATATTCAACACGCTAAACACCATATGCTTTTACATGAATAATTGGGGTAAAATGTTAGATGTACAGTTGGTTTTGGTATATAGTTGTCTTAAATAGATTTTTTTCTAAGAATTTAGAATAAAATTTAATTGACTTAAAAAAAAACTAACATTAACTTCGGCCATTGACCTCAGGGATTATCAACTTTTCAAATGTCACTTATTTACTTCATCAAGTAATTGTGTATTCTAATATGACGTTCTTCAAATGCTTTGAGTACACACCCATGGTAAAATTTGAATATATTCATATGTCAGCTGATAGGCAATGTCTTGATTTGTTTGGGCTGTTCCAATCCTACTCCCACATCATATGCTTTTTATGAATGACTTACCTCATGTCAGATGGTGTAAATGACATCATTGAACGATGATGTAAGAATGTAAGGATTTTACGGGAAAATGAACGAATGGGAATCTGAAAGTCGTCAAAACATGAAAACATAAACAAACGATGGTAAGAATTTGTATAATGTCCATATCTTCTTAAATGAAAGTAAGATAGTCAATTAAATTCATCCAAATCTGTCTTAGTATGTTATTGTGTATCGTTTTAGAATGTCACTTATTCAATTTTCTTCGTCGTTTACATCAATATTTTCCCTTCACATAAAGCGCTTCGATCAAAAGAATTGCTGTCTTTGTCAATTAGAATAGAACTAATTCATATAGGCTTGAATTTATATAGATTTTACCACAGGTTGGCCCTTTATGCTGATATTTTACCCCTCGTTGTCACTCGTGGTAAAATATCTAGCATAAAGGGCCAACCCGTGATAAAATCACAATAAATTCAAGCCCCTATGAATTATTTCTTAATTATATCACAGATTTAATATTCACCATCTTGAGTAGGGAGTATTCGATCAGTATATATATAAGACAGGACCATCTGTAAAGCTATGTGATCAGCATCAGGGAGGTAGATTGTAATTGGCTCGGTAGACTGAATATCTTCTTGACTTCTCTGAAATATTAAAATTGAAATTACAATGCCAAAGTCATTCTATAAATTTGGTACAAAAATGTAATACATGTACTTGCAGCTGTTTGATCTTACTGTGGAATTAAGGAATCTACAGCATACCTAACCATGTGACCACTAAAAGGACCAGGATGTAGGTTCATAATTCATAAAAAGACTTGGTAAACTGTAAATTTCATTGACAAATCAGTTAAAAAAAAAAGAAAAAAAGGAATTCTTGAAAAATATGTATAAAATGTATGTTGCTTTTCATATTATTTCAAAATGTTTCCTTATAAAGTAGTAGTATTCAATGAGGCAAAAATGTTTCTACCATGTATAACACATTATTAAAAAAAAATACTGTAAATTCAGAAATTATTGCGTGCATTTATTATTGCGATTTTTGAAGAATGGACTAAAATGCAAGATTATTGTGATTTAACGGAAATCCTTGTATAAATATATGTTTCAAATTCAGAATGCATTGCAAACCTCATCCAGTCCCATTATTCCTATAAATAAAAATCTCAAAAATAATATCTGAATTTACAGTATTGAAAAACACTAAAATTTAAACTGTATACATAATGATCGATATAAAAAATAGCTAAAAATTTAATTAACGGGGCTTAAAAATTTCTTGGTTTACTGTACTTGTGAAATGCAAAAGTTCATCTATTATAAGGGAACACAAAGCTGAAAACATGATCGTGATAACAAAAGATTACTCTTCATTGAATAATAAACTACATGTATCTATAGTGAACACTGAGGTCGTGAGTTCGAACCCAGCATATTCGAAACCAATCTTAATTGACTAGGATTGTCAGTTTTCCAGTCAAAAGTAGGTGGTTCTCTTCAGGCACTCAGGCTTCTTCCACCAATAAAAACTCACTGCCAGGAAAAAGCCAATAGTGCTGAAAGTGGTGTTAAACATCAATCAATGTATCTATAGCAGAAAAATGTCACAGGACATTAACACAAACAAGCTGTTTTAAATGCAGGACGAATAATATCTTTATTTTAAACAAAAATGTTTTTTTCTCCAGAAAATGAGAAAAAATATGTACAAATGTAAGGGATAAAACTGCAGAGTGCATATAACACCTAAATTTGAAAGATAACTATATGTGTGCAGTTTAATTTTAACGAGGAACTTACTGTGTAACTAAATTTCTTAATTTTACAAAAGAAAGAAATTTGAATGTCATTTCAACTACGTACATGACAATAAAATATTGACCATCTGTTAGTAATATAAATATTTTAACTAATCAGTACAATTTTGTAACTTTCATTAATTACCTGTTCTTTGGCATTCCTGATTTTTTCTTCAAGCCATGATGACCTGGCTGCAACCACAGAAATGTGGGCTTTTATCTCCACATTGTCCTAAAAATATAGAACCAAGGCAACTTCAGATTTAATTTTATATAATCCAGAAATAATCAGTTAATAAAATGTAAAACTTTAATGTTTTAAGTTACACTGTTATCAACCAGAAATATTCAACCAGAAAATATGTAAGCTTTGAATATATAAACTATTCTGAATTATGCTAACGAAGCCATTCATGCTTTGATTTTTCATATTTTCCTAAAATATTCAACACCAAAAACATGGGATTTAATTTCTCCACTACTATCCTATAAGATGCAGTGACTTTTTATGTACAGTGGATTCAATATATTAAGTCAGGTATCAATAATCATGGATTTCATGGGTACAGATGTACCAAAATTCTTGTGTTCAACAATACACAAATTTCAGATAGGCTTATATGCAGAATTTATCAAAACAAAGATATTAAGTTTCTGTGAAAAACATTCCCAATCTATGAAAAATATTTACCTCTGAAACTATTTGAGTCTCAGTATATAATGTGTAAAGGATAATAAAAGGAACCGTAAATTGTATAAGTATAAAAATAAGGAGATGTGGTATGATTGCCCATGAGTCAACTATCCACTGGAGACTAAATGACATAGAAGTTAACAACTATAGGTCACTGTACAGCCTACAACAATGAGCAAAACCTTTACAGCATAGTGAGCTATAAAAGGCACTAACATGACAAATGTAAATCATTTTAAAAGAGAAAAACTTAACAGCTGGATTTAAGTACAAAATAAATGGAGAATGTGACTATGGGCCACAGATGCCTCGCTTGTAAATATGCATGAGTTAACTTCCACATACAGATGCAGGATTCACGTTATTAATTTAAGACCATTTTTTGTGATTATAAGCATTGTGAATAAGTTTCATAACATTTGGTTGAGGCAAACTAAAGTTAGAGAACGGAAACAACAGATTTAGCAATTTTTCCATTTATAAAGGGGCATAACTCAAAAACGGTAAAAGTGACGCCACCTAATTTCAAACTTGATCTGTGTTTTGTGGTAATAAGCATTGTGTATAAGTTTTATAACATTTGGTAGAGGAAAACTAAAGTTAGAGAACGGAAACCAATTTCGGGACAATCAGGACGGACGGACAAGGGTAACACTTAATGCCCCGCATCAGGGGCATAACAATAAATGAAAAACAAATAGGATAAACAGTACTTTCTAAAATGAGAAACAATTATCATAGATTTTGTGGTAATACAAAATGAATTTAAATACAGAACAAAACACAAATCTTTCATTGATTTGTTTGTTCAAAGTTTCAAACTATAAATTAATAATGTTTCCACAAACCATTAAAAATACAATCTTTCATGCTACCTTCTGAAATGTAACACTTAATTTTACAGTAAATATTCAAATGAAAATGATTACCTTGCCGACCATAAAATTTAGGTCACAAAACTGTTGATTCTTCAACAACTTTCCATAATCTTCGTGCAATGTGCATTTAGGATATCTGGAGAACTGAATAAAAGAAACATAAAAAGGAATATTGGTTAATATCAATTTAGCATACAATTTAAATTACAAAACTTACTTTGTGTGAAGTGGAATTACCTCACAGTTTGTCTAAAAAGTTTTCTTGGTAAAAGTTTATGTAACTGAGAACTATTCAAGAAATAATCCATGGCACTGAGGTCAATATGGCAATTTGTGGACTAAGTTGTCATCTCCAAACATTTATATGGAAATCTCAAGTAGAATAAATTCTAGGGAAAGGGCTCTAACTGAACAAAGAGAAAATCTAAAATCATGAAAATTGAACTTGACCTGTAGCTTGTCATGATAAAACAATAAACCAAATATCAAATCAATATCTTCAAGCACGAAGAAAAAAGTCTGGAAAACTGATTTGCTGGACTGACAGACAGACAGACAGACTGACGGAGTGCAAACCTAAAGTCCCCTTCGACTTTGTCGGTAGGGGACTAATAATTTCTTTAATATTAGTCCTAAGTATAGTGTAATCATTTAATATACAAAATGAAGATCTGTTGTGTGTCTCTCTGTGTTACAATCATCTCTGTGACTCAGATTACTATTGATATGTTCAAATTGTCGTAACCACTATCTTGACCTCTTTTCCTCAATTGTGACATCTTATTGCCAGATTTGTACTTGCTGGTGCCACTTGTGGAGCAGAAACTGCTTACCCTCCCTGATCACCTGACTTCCCCCTCCCCCGTTTTGGTGGGGTTAGTGTTACTCAGTCTTTAGTTTTCAATGTAGTGTTTTGTGGATTTCTTCGTATTTTTCGTTTTTGCCATGTAAAGTTTTTTTATCTTTTATTTTATCTTCTGTCTCTTTTTTTACGAATGTCTGAATCTATAGCTATAGTTGGATACAACATTCCTTACTGGAATGTAGCACTTGTTTACTGCAATATCAAGCTCATTAGCAGAATTTAATAAAACCTTTGTCTTATTCCTTGTCAATTTGTGCGTAGTAATACTAATGTTTGTGTAAATATGGTTATTTCACTCAAACAAATTTGTAATCTAATAAGATATATTAAACTTAAAGGGATTGCTTATAACAGTAATGAATCATAAATAAGTTATTTGTCACTGTAGCTCAGCATTGCAGCATATAAGTATTTGTCTCTAATAAGGGGAATAACTTTTGATCAAATATACTTTGTTAGCCAATTCAAGATTCTTGAAATGATTTGCTGAAAAGTGTTACAGAAGTTAGTGACTAATAATTGCAAAATTTCATATAAAAAACCTCTGCAAAAGATTACATGAAAATGAGAATCACATGGAAAACCATTTTTGAGGAAATTCCCTCTTATTGTGAATACCAAAAATTGTATAAGTTTCCATTTCTGTAATTTTGCATGAGTTGGCTCCCTTTTGTGAATTTAAGTAATGGAAAATGTATATTTATCATTTCTTGTTATCAAACAATAAAACTATGTATAAAGCAATAGTGAAAAAACAGTGTGTGTGGAATATTAAATAACAAAGAAATGTTTAAAATGTCAAGTGAAGTAAATTTTGCTCATAAAATTGAGAATGGAAATGGGGAATGTGTCAAAGAGACAACAACCCGACCATAGAGCAGACAACAGCCGAAGGCCACCAATGGGTCTTCAATGCAGCGAGAAACTCCCGCACCCGGAGGCGTCCTTCAGCTGGCCTAAACAAATATGTATACTAGTTCAGTGATAATGGACGTCATACTAAACTCCAAATTATTCACAAGAAACTAAAATTAAAAATGATACAAGACTAACAACGGCAAGAGGCTCCTGACTTGGGAGAGGCGCAAAAATGCGGCGGGGTTAAAAATGTTTTTTGAGATCTCAACCCTCCCCTATACCTCTAGCAAATGTAGAAAAAAACAAACGTACAACAGTACGCACAGTAAAACTCAGTTTAAGAGAACTCCGAGTCCGATGTCAGAATAGGAAACAAAAGAAAATAAACAAAATGACAATAATACATAAATAACAACAGACTACTAGCAGTTACTGACATGCCAGCTCCAGACCTCAATTAAACTGATTGAAAGATTATGTCTTCATCATATGAATATCAGGCACAATCCCTCCTGTTAGGGGTTTAGTATTATACCTTCATAAAATATATGAGAAGAACATAACCCGTGTCATGCCAACAACTGGTTTTAGAATAAATATGTTTAATTCCGATGCAAAGACCCTATAAGTGAATCAATATTAAAGCCAAAATATGCAATCTTTAATGACCTGACAACAGTATCGTAACTATATCCCTTCTTAATAAGTCTGTTTAAAGGTTTTGTTAGCTTTGGAGGTGAATACTGACATTTTTGTGCTGTGTAAAGAATATAACCATAAAAGATTGGATGTGAAATACCCGAACGTATAAGATGTCTGCATGTTGAGTTATATTTACGAATGATGTCCTTAAACCGATGATAAAATTTAGTAAATGTTTTGACTAGTTTATGATATCGAAAACCCTGGTGTAATAATTTTTCAGTAATATATAAATTTCTCTCGCTAAAATCTAATACATTGTTACATACACGAGGGAATTGTACAAGTTGAGATATATAAACACCATAAGATGGTGACATGCATTTTTATCTCTTATTACTCTCAACAGTGTTCCCACTTGTTTTTTTTTCACAGAAATATTCTCTATATCTGTAATTTAAACAACAATGAATACAATATCTTACTTGGAATCTATACATCTCTCCACTTCTGACAATGTTGTCTACTGTACCACCAAATATATACATGGCATCACCCACTACTGAAGCAGCATGGAAGAGTCGACCAGTTGGAACCTAGAAAAATAAAATATAAAGCAATTAGCATACTGTGGATTCAGTTATCTTCAAGGGTACCAATTTTCATGGATTGCGGCAAAGTTGAATTTTCATAGAGTCTTAATTTCAAGGTTTTAACAAGTTCAGCACACAAGCCTTTATAAAACTATATTTCATTGAACACTTAAATATGCTGTACACCTATAACCATAATTAAGCAACCAACCACCAATCAATTATGAAAATTGGTACCCAATGAAGAGTAATGAATACACAGTTTCTATTTATGCATAAAGGTTTATGAATATACCTTACTTTGCTTTATATGTCTTGATTTGAAGAAGTTCAGTCTACCCATTTATTGTTCATATTATCCAGTTCAATACACTAGTTTCCTAGATATTCAGATCATACCATTTCTTTTCAAGATGTCTAGAATTGCTTTGACATTTTTTTTTATTTTGCTAAAGAATTTACAGCTGTATATTTTAATAAAAAAAAAGAATATCAAAATATATTTATGATGGTATTAGCTGGTAGACATCCAATGAATAAACAGTAAAAAAAAATTCTTGATATATAATATACCATACCTGACTATTAGAGGACGGGTAAATAACTGACCAGGTCTGAGAATCTAAATCAAAACTGAAATTATTAAAAATATTTAGATTAATGTACAATCAATAATTGTATAAAATCAGAGGAAATATATTTCTGGCCTATAACTATCTTTGTTAATACTGTAAATTCAGAAATTTTTGTGTGCACTCATTGTTGGAAACAAATGAGAGATTAAGTTTTGCTATTTTAGGAACGCTGCATTGAAATAATGCTGTCAAAATTTAAATGCAAGTTTTTATTTTTTTGCAATCATTCTTGTTGCAACTTTTGCAATAATAAAAACATCGCTAGACTTCTGAATTTTCAGTATTTGTTTTTTCCTTTGTTGTCAGAGTTCTGGTGTTTTACTAACCATATTTTCATGTTCTTGATGTGCTCCTTGATTGTCTGCCATGCATATATATAAAACTATGACCATTGAATCAAGAAAAACTTAACTACATTATATGCATGTTGATTTTAAGTAAAACAAATTTATATTTAAAATTTAACTGTCATCAGTGGAGAAATATCGTACTGCATGATATTCGGTGTTGGAATCGTTTTTTTAAAAATTTTTAGTCAATATATGAGCAAGCTTTATCTTTTTTTTCACGGAAATTTTAAAGTATGTGTTCATTCAGTGTGAAGGCATCAGGCATAGTTGCCTTTTTTGTAATGTAACAATAGCAAGTTAAGAGAAGAGAGAAAATTTTACGTCATAAATAGATTTAGACCAATGAAGAACTGAGATTAAACGAAACCTCACATTGATTATAAAAAATAATCAACCGGCTGGGGAAAGTATAATTGGCCTATAATTAGAAAAATGATAATACATACAACAAATACAAACACCTTTAAAAATTTAAATACTACAACTATACCAAACTGACATATCATTTTCTAATGTGAAGCACTGACCCTGTATACTTTCATTCCAAGTTTATTTTTTTTTATTTGAAACAGTTTGTACATACCAATGTAAATCATTAGGAAGTGTCTGTCCTGTAGCACCACCAAAAACATACAGATTTCTGTCAAAGGCCACCACTGTGTGGCCATATCTCTTCTCTGGTGGGGGTGGGGCACCATGTAATATGTGCTCTGTTGAGATTCTTGTCCATCTACAAAACAAAATAATTATGCAACTAAACTTTGTATAATTAAAAGAAATAGAACATTTTTTAAACACTAAACATCTCATCAGTGTTAGTCATCTTTATCATAAATCCTAAATAAGTTAATGAATAGCCTCGGCCTTCCTTGAATATATTTTTTTTCTATTTGCAATGCACTTATTTATGTCTTTTAAGAAGGCTACAAAGGAGCTACCCTTCATATTTTATACACATTTAAAAGTATCTATCAAAATAGAGCAATTACTTATGAATATGAACTATTAAGTCAATATAGAAAAAGAGAATATAGGTAAAAGTCCTGAAAAATCCATACATGTATCATCCAAACTCTATAAATCTCAAATATGTCACGTCCTATAAATGCCTGGGGAGAACACTGTTATTCATTTGTAGTCTTCAAATGACATCCTATATACTTTACCAATATATATCACTCACTCATTTTGATTAAATCTGAACTGGAATAGATTATTAGTAATTTTAGCACCACTCTGTCCAGAAAACACAAACATGGAATCCCTAGCTACAGCTAAAGCAAAATTACAACAGGTTGGTGGTATATGTCCTTTCTGGTTTACCTACAAAATACAGTCAAACAAAATTACAACACATTGGTGGTATGTGTCCTTTCTGGTTTACCTACAAAATACAGTCAAAAAAAGTTACAACACATTGGTGGTATGTGTCCTTTCTGGTTTACCTACAAAATACAGTCAAACAAAATTACAACAGGTTGGTGGTATATGTCCTTTCTGGTTTACCTACAAAATACAGTCAAACAAAATTACAACAGGTTGGTGGTATATGTCCTTTCTGGTTTACCTACAAAATACAGTCAAATAAAATTACAACAGGTTGGTGGTATATGTCCTTTCTGGTTTACCTACAAAATACAGTCAAACAAAATTACAACAGGTTGGTGGTATATGTCCTTTCTGGTTTACCTACAAAATACAGTCAAACAAAATTACAACAGGTTGGTGGTATATGTCCTTTCTGGTTTACCTACAAAATACAGTAAGTAATACTAAATGAGAATTTCTTACTTGGATTTGAGGCAAGCTTTATACAACATAAAGGATGCAGAAATTGGTTTACAAATGAATTCAATGATATTTCATATACATTTCCAGAGTGTTTCAAAAACTGAAAGTATTTGTATAATTCACAGCTTATATTGTTTTTATATTGTATTGTCATCTACCTGACTCTACCGCCTTGCACATGGACAGGAGCCCAGTTATCAAGAAAGTGGTTCAAAATTAAAGGAATAAGTTATATAAATCAGACACATACTTTGGGGAATGAGAATTAATTTTTTTCTTTTTTGGAACTGTCCTGTCCAAAGTCTGTCAAATGATATCATTGCCAAAAAAGCATATGTTTCTTTAAATGTAGCTCTAACTGATGACATATCAGAGAGTAAATCTTTTGTCAATGCTATAGGCAATCTTAATCATGACGTAAAGTGTAACCATTACTCATTACTAAAGACCAGCTGAACATTCCTGTAGACCTCCTAGCAATGGTCTAGGTGATCAGCATCAAACACTTTGATATATATATTTATTATTCCATGTGATCAATGTCTGAAGGTGTGTAAACCTAATATCCACTCTCCCCCAATCTATTTATGTGATGTTTTTATTGATAAAAGAAGAGTTAAAAACTATCAGATGTACCCAAGATAATTTTACAAAATGGTCTAGCTAACTTGGTTATAAGTAGATATAAGAAGATGTGGTATGAGTGCCAATGAGACAACTCTCCATCCAAGTCAAAATTTATAAAAGTAAACCATTATAGGTCACAGTACGGTCTTCAACACGGAGCCTTGGCTCACACCGAAGTTCTGTTTAGTTGGTTTTATCCTATTTTAATTACTGGTACCTTATACCTCTCTATATGAACTATGATTAATGTGATAAAATTTAAAGTAACAGATACTTTGTAAAATAAAAAATATATTATATCAGTTATCTGCTTACTTTTTCCCAAAAAGGAGTTTCAGACAGGGATACAGTCCACATATCATTCAATCTAGCATTCCCATCATACCCTGCAAATATCCATAGCTTACATCCATATACTGCAGCTCCATGGGCAGCTCTAGCTACTGGTTTCCTGTTAAAAGATTATGTCTTTCAAAGTTTAAACATTATTTCTGGTGACAATTTGAACAAACTGGTTCTAGTTTTACACCAGAATTTTCAAGTTGGATTTGTATTGATGCAGATTTACTTTTAGTATTTCCCATTTCTATATACTGATTTTCAATGTGACTATTATCCATAATGATCCTATTGATTTTTTAGTTTCTTTTTGGTCATGGGTCATCTTAACTGCAGAACTGTAGCTCTTAGGTCCTTCTGAAATGTTTGGTCAATTTGCAGACAGTCTGCACAAATCAGAAAATATAACAAGGACTAAACACTATTAGAGTTACAGTTTTGTAGCTAGTACCATCTCAGGCTATTCATGAAAGGAGGTTATACACATTTTAATTCTTATCTCTTATCTCTATCAATGAATATGTTCTTCCCACCCTTAGATTTCTGGTTCCACATTTGGATTTGTTAGTTAAATGAAAATTCATGAATACAAAATTTTTTAAAAAGCTTTTGTTAACATTTTGAATTTGAAGACAATTATGACAGGTCCTCCAAAAAGCATTTACCTTTTATATGCAATGAAACTAAATCTGTTTCAATATCTTCTAAGCTCTAATATTCATGCATTTCAATATGCGGGTTTTATTGATGTTTTTAATATTCTCTTTAATGTTTTGTACTTGGAGACCACAGATATACTTCATTAGTCGAGCCACAATCCTGTTCTCAGGTCTTTTTCCATGACTCTTTACCAAATACCACATATCAAAAGACTTTTACTTTTAACAGAACACTTACAACTAGTTAAACAGGATCTTCTTACTCTTCCAGAACACTCAAGTTCATCCTTGCTTTTTTATGAGACTATTGTTGCTCAGACTTTAGTATTTTGTGTCGTGTTTAGGGTTTTTTTCTTTTGGCCATGGTGTAGTATATCCTTTGAATTATGAGTTTTGATTCCCACATAAATATCTTTAACATTTTTTTTAAACAAGGATCATAGTATAAACATATGAAATAAATCAACATACCTTCCTTCAAACCTCCATTCTGACCACTGACATTTATCAAAATTGTATTCAAACAGATCATTTTTATTGGTCAGGTTAGAATTTGAATGTATATCTCCTGTGTAACCACCTAAAGAGAAAAATTCTTCTATACATGATGTAATTAGGTGAAAAACATATTGAAAAATTAGACACCTTCCCATACATAAAATCTGTTTTTAATATACAGTAAAAAAAACTAAAGATGTATTTTATTTGCTGTGTAATTGGATTGTTGTCCCTTTCATGTATACCCAACATCTCATTTTATTCATATTGACAAAAAAAAATATATATATATGAATTTTCTGTGTAATATACTGATTCATTGCTCATGATGGATTTACAATTTTTTATGAATATTAGACACTCATATAAAGAATTAATATGCCTGTCCCAAGTCAGGAATCTGGTCAGTGGTTGTCTTATGTCTTATCTTCATACTTTTTGGTTATTCAGAGATTTTGTTGTTGATGGCAGATTGTTGAAAGTGTCTGTTAAATTTATTCACAAGTTTTATGGATCTTGGATGATATGAGTCTGACAAACTGTATGGACACCTGTCTTTTGTTCTAGACTGTATGTAACCCTCTACATGTCGTTTGGCTATTTTTGTCTTTGGGTTGCTGTCTTATTGATGTATACCCCACATCTCCTTTGAACTATAATAATGAATAATTGTACACTATCATAGTTGAGAAGATATTGGTCAACACAAATACCTGGAAACCCATTTTAACCGCACAGGGCAAATAAAGTTTAACAAGAATGGTAAAAGTGTCGCCACCAAATTTTGTACTTAATCTGTATTATGTAGTAATAAGCATTGTGTATAAGTTTCATAACATTTGGTTGAGGCAAACTAAAGTTAGAAAATGGAAACAAAAAATTTGTACTTGATCTTAGTTTTGTGGTAATGAATATTGTGTATAGGTTTCATAATGTTTGGTTGGGGCAAACTTAAGTTACAGAATGGAAACTAAAAATTTTGCAATCATTCGATTTATAAAGGGGCATAACTAAATAATGGTTAAAGTGACACTACCCAAATTCAACTTGATCTGTGTTTTATCAGTGGAAGTCAAAATTAAACATTGCATTGTATAAAGCATTGATTGTAGTTGATTCAACTATAATCATGGACAAAGGAAGAAAACTCCAAATTTTAAATTTACTTGATATTTAGAAGAAAATAAAAATTTGCAATTTTTCCATTTATAAAGGGGCATAACTCTAGAACGGTTAAAGTGTTGCCACCAATATTCAAACTTGATCTGTGTTTTGTGGTAATAAGCATTGTGTATAAGTTTCATAACATTTGGTTGAGGCAAACTTAAGTGAGAGAACGGAAACTAAAAATTTTGCAATTTTTCCATTTATAAAGGGGCATAACTCTAGAACGGTAAAAGTGACGCCACCAAAATTCAAACTTGATCTGTGTTTTGTGGTAATAAGCATTGTGTATAAGTTTCATAACATTTGGTTGAGGCAAACTCAACTAAGAGAACAGAAACCAATTTTGGAACGTATGGACGGACGTACGGACGGACAAGGGTAAAACTTAATGCCCCCACCGCTACGCTGTCCACGCTGAATTCCCTTTAATCATGTTTTCAAATAATTTAAGTGTTTCAATGAAAGTTTTGAAGAATAGGCCAGTGTCTAAAGGTGTTCAGAATCTAAAGGACTATGGGTAATTTTATTGCTCATACCTCAAAATGAAAATAAGTCATTGGTTGAATTTCAATTGTTAAGGACGTTTTTAACCAATCACAACACTTTGGTGAACACTTTCGAAAATATTACCCATAATGCATTAGATTCTGAAACAGTAAATTGTGTGTACTGTAGATTTATTATTATTCGTGGGATACCAATTTTCGTCTATTTCATGGGTATAGAAGAACCATTAATTTAAATATTCAATTAAGTTCAAATTTTCTATAAGCTTGTATACAGACTTTTGCAAAACAAGGAAATAAAATATTAACAAATACCGGTAGTTTTCCTAAATCCACGAAAATTGGTACTCAGGAAAATAAATGAATCTACGGTATATAAAATCTCTTTATTAAGATAAAACTGTTACATATGTACTAACCAAATACAAACATGCTCCCTTCATGAACTACAGCAGAATGGTGATATCTTTGTGCTGGTGGGGATCCTGTTGTAAAAGCCCTACAAGCAAAATAATCAATGGGTTAAATTACATTCATGTGATCTCCAACTTTCCTCAATATATGTTTTAAATCTATATATGTACAAGATTTTGTAAGCACAGATGTTTCGAACTTCTTCTGGAGTACCTGTCTTATAAATCCAAAGGTTTTCATATTTTACTGGCATAAATGCCTTCTAAGTCAACAGGTCTCTACTTTACCCTAGAGAACCTGTCTAGTAAATAAATGGGGAATGTGTCCATGAGACACAGATGATGCCTGCACTTGCATAAAACATCATAAAGGAACATAACTGAAGAACGGTAAAGGCGTTGTTACCCAAATTTGTACTTGATCTGAGTTTTGTGGTAATAAGCATTGTGTATAAGTTTCATAATATTTGGTTGAGACAAATTTAAGTTGGAGAACAGAAATGAAAAATTCAGCAATTTTTCCATTTGTAAAGGGGCATAACTCAAAAATGGTAAAAGTGACGCCACCAAAATTCAAACTTGATCTGTGTTTTGTGGTATTAAGCATTGTGCATAAGTTTTATAACATATGGTTGAGGCAAACTAAAGTAAGAGAACGGAAACAAAAAATTCAGCGATTTTTCCATTCGTAAAGGGGCATAACTCTAGAACGGTAAAAGTGACGCCACCAAAATTCAAACTTGATCTGTGTTTTGTGGTAATAAGCATTGTGTATAAGTTTTGGAAACCAATTTTGGGACATAGGTATGGACTGACGGACAAGGGTAAAACTAAATGCCCCCTTCGCCATGGCAGGCACATAAAAAACAAGAGGTCATCATATAAAATGTAAGTCAAAGGTCAGAAAGCACAACAGAAGTAATCTCTATCAGAAAATAAACTTTATTTGATAAGAACTTCTGCAGTGGTGAGAAAGAGAGTCTCTTCCAAACAACCTTACTCAATCTACACCACTTTACCAGTTAAATGTATGAATTGATCAGTTCCATTCAAAACTTTGAAATGTAACAATTCCAATGTTCCTAAATCTGCAAAGGCGGTTGATTTCAATTGCCTTATTGAAATATTACATTGTAAATAACTTCACCTGGTAGCTGAGCCCCTAATTCATATCATTATTATGAGAGGTCTGTCTCTGTTTTTTTCCCATCATCTAAATCCATACATTTATAAAGAGATGAATGTGTCCATGGGATACAGATGATCCCCCCCCCCCCCCCCCCCCTTTTGCATGTAACATTATAAAGAGACAAAACTCGAGAACTGTACAAGTGACACCACCCAAATTCGAACTTGATCTGAGTTATGTGGTTTTAAGCATTGTGTATAAGTTTCATAACATTTGGTAGAAGCAAACTAAGGTTAGAGAACGGAAACCAATCTTGGGACGTAAGCATGTACTGACGGACAGACAAGACTAACACTTAATGCCCCCTCCGGTGACGCCTGGGTCATAAAAATAAATTGTTGACACACAGATATGTCTTGCCTGTTTGTAAAAAAAGATTGAATTCTAACCTATGAATGAACCATGACTGAGGGGGGGGGGGTATAATTACCATGGAAATGAGATAGGCAAATTGAAATAAAGCTGCATACCAAATCATTTACTTTCCAAATGGAGTCCCCTTAATTTGACCTAATCAAAAACTTAAACATGTACACTGCAAAAGTTTCAAAGTACATGGACCATGACTGAGGGGGCTGAGTCAAATCATTTCCATGGAAATGAAATGTGTTTAAGCTAATAGGATTGCATACCAAATATCATTGCATTACCATTCATGGTTTTTCTTAAGCTGAACTAATCATGATCTTTAACAAATTGTTGATGCTGCTGACATTGTCACTGAGTCTGGAAGAAGCATGCCTTAGTCTCAATTCCATGACTCTGTCCCAGGAGAGACAAAAAAATAATACTATTAATGCTATGACGGAATGTCTTACCTTCCCCATGATTTGTCTTTGATGTTGAAGATCAGAAGATCATTGAGCATTGTGTGCCTGTAATTATAAAATTACAGTATACAGTTAATGTAATCTGATGTAATTATAAAAATAGGTATATAGTTAATGTATTAAATCTGATGTAATTATAAAATTACATTGTACAGTTAATGTAATCTGATGTAATTATAAAATTACATTGTAAAGTTAATGTATTCAATCTGTAGTAATTATAAAATTACATTGTACAGTTAATGTATTCAATCTGTAGTAATTATAAAATTACATTGTACAGTTAATGTATTCAATCTGTAGTAATTATAAAATTACATTGTACAGTTAATGTATTCAATCTGTAGTAATTATAAAATTACATTGTACAGTTAATGTATTCAATCTGTAGTAATTATAAAATTACATTGTACAGTTAATGTATTCAATCTGTAGTAATTATAAAATTACATTGTACAGTTAATGTATTCAATCTGTAGTAATTATAAAATTACATTGTACAGTTAATGTATTCAATCTGTAGTAATTATAAAATTACATTGTACAGTTAATGTATTCAATCTGTAGTAATTATAAAATTACATTGTACAGTTAATGTATTCAATCTGTAGTAATTATAAAATTAAATTGTACAGTTAGTGTATTAAACCTGATATTTTCATACACTGGTACTATGGTTTAACCAATAAAACTATTGTGGTAGTAAAGACTAAGACAGGCAAATCATGAAATAAAAAATGTAAAGAAAATCAAATATTTGTTTTACTTGTGAGCTGAAATAGGTAAAATCATTAAACATGTTAAACAAGGAATTATTTGAATCTGGAATAATTTTAAATTCTGGAAAAATTGATAAGAAATGTATGAAGAAAACTTACCAAACTAAAGAGAGTTAGCCATGAATTATTTGAATCTGGAATAATTTTAAATTCTGGAAAAATTTATAAGAAATGTATGAAGAAAACTTACCAAACTAAAGAGAGTTAGCCATGCTAAACTTACTAAGCCCCCACAGACATGCATGCATGACTTACCCTCCTAAATGGGATAGTTCTCATCATACATATCTTATCAATTTTCCAGAATTCAAAATTTTTCCAGATTCAAAAAATTCATTATTATGTTAAACATCCATGAAACAACAAATGAATAAGGTGTCAAGTAAAATGTCAAAACAAGAAATTACATATGAAAAGTCCAAGAACATCTAAACATCACAAATAATTATTAAAGTTTAGAAGGTGATTCACTTATGTTTTGGGAATGAAATTTACTTCTATATCCCCTTTTATTCATATTCACAGATACACAACAGGTGCCACATATGGAACTGCTTACCCTTATGGAGCATCTGAGTTCAACCCTTGGCAGGGTTAGTATTGCTCAATATTTATTTTTCTATGTTTTGTGGATTTCTTCATCTTTTCATTGTTTTTTCCTTTTTTGTCATGGCATTAATAGATTTTAACTTGAGATTTTGAATGTCCCCTTTGTCTCTTGCGCCTTGTTTAGGATTATTCCTTTATAAACTTGACTTACCCATTGTCTCCCCCAAATACATATATGGCATCTTTATAAACCAGACTTACCCATTGTCTCCCCCAAATACATATATGGCATCTTTGTAAACCAAACTTACCCATTGTCTCCCCCAAATACATAGATGGCATCTTTATAAGCCACTACTGTATGTTTACTTCTCCTGAAAATTATAATAAACTCTGCAATTTTGACTTATTCAACACTCTTGAAATTTGGGAAAATAATTTTTTACCGTTTATTTTTCTGAATTCCCATGGTTCCTGTGAGAGTCTTGGGGAGAGGAAAAAACATTTGGCCAACACTATAGGTAATTACATGGCTTGAAAGCAATTTTTTCCTAAAACTGATCTTTTCTTTTGCTTTGATATTGCAACTATATTCTAATTTGTTGATAAAATTTCTAAAGATATAAAAAAATAAATCCTGAACATCAAACCGATATACCCTTTAAACAATAAATAAAATGTATTATATGTAAATATGAGAAATTTTTCAAATTTAATTCCTCATCTAAAATTAGAATTTTTAATGGAAAAGCTTAAAACAGTTACTAATTATCTATGAGACAATGTGTCACTATTACAAGATCTTAATTCATTTGATAAATAAGAACACATTCTTTGCCCCACCCCTAAATTTGCCATATTGGAAACTGTTCATTTGTTGTATTCTTGTACATGTATGTATTTATTTGTTTTTGCTTGACCCTTATGGGTGTAATTTTTCAATAAAGATAAGTATTATTGGAGGTTATCTTATGAACTTTCATCTGATATGTAGGTTTTTATTATCAAGCAGATTCATGCAGTATACCTGGCTCCAACAAATTCATCACATTCTGGCATACGTGTCCATCTATGTACAGTTTCAAATGGTCCAAAATCTAATGTTAGACCTTCTGTATTTTCTGGCCAACAAGTATGGTCAAATTCTAAACCAGGTGGTTTAGCCACCGCCATTGGCTAATTTTCTTCAATTGTTCAAGGCTACATTTTTCTGGAAAGAAAGACACAGGTATCAATGATAATATATGATATATATCATTAGTCAAAAAGTAGTGCCCACAGTAGGTGGTTGCATTTTGTTCGTTTCAGAAAGATTTTGAGATAATTTTGTAATTAATATAAGCAATGCAAAAAACATTTTCCCTAAAACCCATGTATATTTCTCTTTAAATTTTATTAATACTCAAATAAATATTATGAAAATATGGACTATCCGTGACAAATTCTAGATAAACCATTGACACCCATAAAATTATCCTTTGTGTTGAATAATTTTTAATCATGTTTAGGTAAGTGTATTGCTCTATATATATATCTATATATATATATAAAAAAAAGAATTTCATTGTTTCTAAATAAAGTGAGATTCTGACAACGTTTTTTTAGGTGTTGATAAAATCTTAATCATGTTTTGGTTAGTGTATTGCTATAAATATTTCTTTTTTATTGTTTCAAAAGGAAATGGGATTCTGACAACATTTTTTTTTATATGTTGAATAATTCGTAATCATGTTTTGGATAGTGTATTGCTATAAATATTTTTTTCATTGTTTATGAATAAAGTGAGATTCTGACACACATGAGATCAAAGGAGCCAAGCTGTTAAAAACAATTATCTTTCGTGTTTTTTATTTAAAATCTTCAAAGTTTTACTCATACCAAGCTAAATACATGCAGTATTTACATTTAAAGCAAGTTAAAACAACCATGACAACAATCATGATTTTTAAACACTCAACAATAACACCATATTAGGCTGTGTATAAATACCAATTAGCAGTTTTCATACATAATTAACATTTAATAATTAATCATTAAATCAATTTAAAACAATATTTCATTTAAAAATTCCCAAATTTTTATTTATGAAAACAAAAATATTTTGATATAAACATCTACAAAACATCTAAAAATTTATCAGGTTTTTGAAAAAAAAAGGGTGCGAACGTGTAGGGTGCGAACGTGTGGGGTGCGAACGTGTATTGGGCGCGAACGGACCCCCCCCCCCTTTTGTGGGAAAAATTTGGTTGATTATATAGGGAATCACTGAAGCATGACTGGAGCAGGGCCCCTCTCATGCAGTCAGTGGGCCCCTTCTTATGAAAATTTCTGGATACGCCACTGGCACTTGCACATTCACGTTGTTGACGGAGTCTGAAATTTCGTAAAGAAGACCTTTTTACTGCTAATTTGTATCTAATTACCAAAAGGTATCTTCCTCTTAAACAAAAAAAAGCAGCCTCGTACTATCAAATAAATATATACACAGTGTATGGATAACAATTTATACCACAGCTAGGGGCTCAGAATCTTTTTTTAGAACGTTATATGAATCTATACCAAATGATAATGGCAAATGAAAACGCTAGGAAAAGCAAAACCAAATCATAGGGGCTCAGGAATCTTATTTTGGAATGTTATATGCTCACACTTGGGAAAAAACATTCCCAAGCCCCTGTGGTCAGGTGGTTATACATGTTTATGAATTATGAATTTATGTGTGGGCTCTTTTTCCTGTGTGAAATTTTTTTGAACAAAGACCAATGGCACCCTCTGTTCTCATTTACTGATCTTATACCATAAATGCAATTTTTTTCTTCTCTTTTTTTATCAATTCATCTACATTCTAACAGCATTTTCTGATTTTCGAGGCCTTAATTTTCATTCTTTCATGTGTTTACAAAATGACCGGAAGTGGTGATCGGAACCCCTCGTTTCTGAGCTCTTCCGAGAGCACTCATGTGCTGTTTGTTTACTTTTTGATCTCTGTTGATAGCAGATTAGAAATGGATTGATGACCAAAACTCATTGACAGTCAAAATGGCTATAGTTTTGACGTTGATAGTGTCATCTGTCATTTTGTTTTCTATATACTTCTTGGCTACTAAGTTTTCAGAATGGTTTTTGTGGACATCAAAAAGAAACAAAATGATAGAAAGTTTTCCAGGAAGACCGGCTCATTTGATTTGGGGAAATCTCAAAGAAGTTTGTACCTTATGATGGAGCGAAAAACTTGACATATCATATAAAAGTTGCCATTATGAGCAATGATTTTTCTTATCAGTTACCTATATCTACATTGATTTATACAGTAGTGTCCGGTAATTCTGTCCGTCCGGTAAATCTGCCCATTCCCATTTACTTCCGTAATTGTCACTTCCGTGAAGATTTCGTCTGCTATATTATTCATAGGAACTGTACTTATCATTTCTGCATGTCAAATGTTAAAGAAAAATCCTTGAGTATGAAAATATCTAGTGATATATATATAATACAGTTCCTAAAGCTAACAATAATCATATTATTGCTTACAAAACTTATTTTTGAGGCCATGCAAAAATGATTGTTGGTTTCCCCTAACCCTGCCGGGTCAGTTTTTACACTCCGGGTCAATCCTTTTTTTTTTTTTTTTTTATTTTTTTTTTTTTTTGGGGGCAGAGGAAACAAAAGTGTTGCTCTGGTTTCTTTTGACAATTTTCAATGATACTTTTATTTAAAATTGTCTGATAATCATTTAAAAGTGTGTCAACATTATGCTCAATTATCATTCCTTTGTTTATATAGCTTATACCACAAGATAGAATGTAAAACAAGAATTTACTGTCGGGTTAGCAACAACATTCTCTGCTTTGTAAAACTGCTTTTTCACAAAAAAATAACATAAATTAAAAAGTTTTTCCTGCCTGCCGGTCCTTGATAATATTCATTTGATAGGGGAAACCAACTCATTTTTCCATGGCCTGACTTGAAATTTTTTTTTTTTTTTTGATTATCTGGAATCTCTTTATAAGTGGTCTATTAATAAATAGATCATTTTTTCTTTTCATAAATATGTGATAAACTGGCCCTCCATACATATTTACTGCACATGGGTGGATTTACCGGACAAACACATTTCCGATAAAAACATGGATGACCCACTTGTTTTGTTGATTTTAAAATTTATTTCAGATATTTTTTGGGAAATGAGATGAACTTCTCAAAGTTGATTTGTCAGTGAATCGATTTATAATAAAATTGATACAATTTGTATATAATTAAGGAGAAATAAATACAACCAAAGCCTTATGAGGGCGGATTTACCGGACTGCATCGTAATTCAGTTCCTAAAGCTAATGATAATCTATTATTGCTTACAAAACTCGTTTCTGCCTTGAAATTTATTTTTTTTCGATTGTCTGGAATCCCTTTATAAGTGGTCTATTAATAGATCATCTTTTCCTTTCATAAATATGTGATCAACTGGCCCTCCATACATATTTACTGCCCATGGGCGGATTTACCAGACAAACACATTTCCGATAAAAACAGATGACCCACTTGTTTTGTTGATTTGAAAATTTATTTCAGATATTTTTTGGGAAATGAGATAAACTACTCAAAATTGATTTGTCCGTGAATCGATTTATGTTAAATTTGATACAACTTGTATATAATTAAGGAGAAATACATACGGTCAAAGCCTTATGTGGGCGGATTTACCGGACTGCATCGTACTAATCCCAAGCATTTTTACAATAGGAAGGATAATTTGGAACCTAGCTATACATTTTGTTGTATCATGCATATCATCTATTTGCTTATGTAATTTGACCCGCCCAATTGACTAATATTTTATGCAATCTACAAGTATTCCTGTGTTCAGAAATGATGAAAATATTCAAAAGTTCAAAGTTCTTTATTTTCCAATGAAGGGCCCCTGATGGGATATAATGACAACAATAGTCAATACATAATACATTCTCATTCATAACACATAAAAACATATGAATGGAGATAAAATTAAAACATGTACCTCCCATGCTAAAACAATATTTGGTGAAGAAACAAAAGTGACGTTTCATTGAGTTTATATCAGCCCCCCTATGTTTACGAGGACAAAGAACAATGTTTGAAAATTGATCTGAAACAATCAATAAGAATTAACAACAAACATGACAACAAAAGCACTCTTCCAAGTTTACGAAATTATTGCTTTAATAGGTAATAAAAATGAAACATGTAAACAAAAGCATGTTTTCCATAAAAATAATTTTTTGAATAAAAAGCTTTATTCTAAAGGAGAGGATTGAAACTGAAGTTATAGTGTAGATTGCCTACAAAATGAAGTTTTTATTAGCTTCCGACTTATTCATAAGAATAGATTGACAAAAGGTTAGGAGATAATCAAATATCTGTCTTAAACTGACAGATGATTTTCTAAAACAGCAATTTACATAAATGTAAACCCACTTTCCAACATCTTCATTTTTCAATTTACAGGTAAATTTGATCGTTGAACAGACCAACGCTAACGGTACATGTACTAAAATGTATACCCTGAAAATACTTCAATCCAAATATTGGTATACCCTATAGGATATAAATAAGAAGATGTGGTATGAGTGCCAATGAGACAACTATCCATCCAAGTCACAATGTGTAAAAAGTAAACAATTATAGGTCAAAGTAAGGCCTTCAACACAGAGCCTTGGCTCACACCGAACAGCAAGCTATAAAGGGCCCCAAAATGACTAGTGTAAAACAATTCAAACAGGAAAACCAATGGTCTAATCTATATAAAAAAACGAGAAGAGAGAAACACTTATGAACCACACCAACAAACGACAACCACTGAACAACAGGCTCCTGATTTAGGACAGGTGTATAAAAATAAAACGTTTTATTACATTGGTAGCAATGAATTACATTGATTTCCCAGTCAAATAAAAACCGATAATTTCACATGTGAAATAAACGTGGTTATTTCACTCTCTGACGTCATACAACAATAGGCGTTGTCAAGACGTCGATAACGTCGGATCAAAACAAATTGTGAATGCGTAGAAAAAAGATATAGTTCCTTACATTTTCTACATTAATTTCTTTAAAAAAAGCCCTTTGCCAATGTAATAAAAAGAATAACTAATCAAAGAATTCAAATATCGAAAAATATTCAACTCGTGACCGAACAACACTGACAATTAACTCATGCGCTATGCGCATTCGTGAATTAATGTGTTGTTCGGTCACTCGTTGAATATTTTTCTCTATTTGAATTCTTCGATTAGTTATTCTATAATTAACAGGCGCCAACCTTCAAAATGCATTATATTTGTGTTCCTATGTGAGATTATGGTTCGATCCATGGCACGGTCAGACCTGATTCAGTATTATGACCGGGTAGGGTGACATGTCTTCCTGCCATCTGTTACCTTGTAAACTAGCATGATAATAATCAAGCTCATCGCGTCGGCCTAGCACAAAGCAGGGCTCATATCTTATCAACATGTTCTCATCCAAATAAGCATGAAATATTTTTCACTGGACTTTAAACCCATCAATCATTTGTCAATGAAAAACAAACTTACAATATAAATGATTACAATTGCTAAAATCTGATGAACATGTTAAAATCATTCTCAAGTTATTTTTTTTTTCTATTCCAATGTTAGTCCAAATTTTTAGTTTAAAGTTAATTGTCCCATATTCAACTGAATATATGCATGAATGATTATTTGATTGCAACTATGCCTTACAAATATTTAGTATATATATATTCTATTGAGCATAATTTCAATATTTTAGTATCCAGGTCCAAACGAGGCAGGTTTGCAATGGGCTCGAGAATGGGTGGCAGAATTTCCATGGGCATCTAGATTTTGGCTTGGACCTTTTATTCCACTCATTTGTGTATATCATCCTGATACAACAAAATTAGTTTTAAAGTCCTCAGGTAAATATGACTAAATTTACTGTTTATTTATAGTTCCCAGGTATAAATGATGAAGGACTCAAGTTCCAGAGAGAACAGACTGGATTATTTCCAAAAGTGTCTCGTGGTTGGTTAGGACCCTTTTTGCCAATGCTCTTTGTTTACCATCCAGAAACAACCAAAATTGTCTTGAAATCATCAGGTATGTTTGAATCCTTATTGTGAATAAATTCCCAGTGGCTATCCAATTTTCTAGCCTTTTATTCCTGTCTACCCACACCTTTTAGAACCTATCTATTGTGTTTATTACAAACTATAAGAAGACAACAACATCCACCAGAAAGTGTTGGATCGCAATACTTATTTATTGTGTTTATTTGTTCTCAGCTTGAACATGCATGTAATATTTGCCACTGGATAACAATAATCAACTTTAATATTTTCGATCTTTCAAATTACCGACTTATTAAGAAGAAAAATACTTAGTATAGGTTACATTTCTGTTTACAGAGCCAAAGTCCCGTAATGCTTACCGCCTGATAGAGCCATGGATTGGGACAGGATTATTGGTAGCTAATGGAGGTAAATGGAAGAGGAATCGTCGTCTGCTAACTCCAGCTTTCCACTTTGATGTTCTCAAATCTTACCAATTAATAATGAACAAGACATCAGATATTTTGCTGGTATTTGTAATATTAGATTTGAATATTTTTATCAGATATGTGAAAATATGTGCAGATAAAATGCTAATACAATATCAACCAAAAATCTCTAATTATGATCTAGCTCTAACGGAATTATATGTCAAATTAGATAGTAATTATATTTAATAACTGCAAGTCTGGTAAATTTTGAAATATACCACAGGGACAATTGTTGATGTCGTTTATTCAACCTTTATACATCTGGTGCAAATTCGGCATTTCGTGTATTTTCCATCATCTAAATTAAGAGTTTTAAATATCAACCAATCAAAGAGCGCAGTATTTTTATCGGACCAATCAGAAGTCTCTATTCTCGCTGTTTCTTGGAAGTGGTTCTTAATAGAAATTAAAGGGGCAAACAATTAAATTCAATTTTATTGAATGAAAAACTTGTCCAAAATTAAACTCTATAAAAATTAAGATAAAAATATGTTAAAAGATTGATTTGAAAGAGAAATTTACTAGTACCATACCAATGTACCAATTTTAGTGTATGATAGTACATGAATATGATTTTTATCGAACGCCGCATCATTTTTGAGTTTGGCACAGACGCTGACGATGTCCCAACTAACTGAACATAAGGTAATACACTCACTCACAGACATTAGCAGACTGTTAAGATAACAATATAGTAATATAGAACTTGTTATTATATCAGATTCACTCTGTCTGAGCTCTATCTGAAAAACTCATCTATATTATTTAGTTTGATACGCTACTGTACAGTGTTATTTAAATTTTCACCTCTCTGACCTTCAATTTTCAGTTCACAAATTGTACCCTTTATATACTGAGTCTGTACAAAACTAAAAAAATAGGCGAATTTAACAGATGGAGCTCCAACAATAGCAACACAATAAGTATACTTTATTGCAATGTTGTGTGACCATAAAAGACACTGCAAATCAATAGGTACTAAAAACTGTCAGTTATGAGTTGCCAAAATTTTGACAAGTGATATTTCCATTGGGACAAGTAAAATTCATAGTCACTTGTCCGATGGGACAAGTTGGTATAAAAGTTAATGTCAGTCCCTGTACCAACATAGCAAAAATGAAATGCTTTAATTATCTCAGCTCTGCTTTGAGATCTATGCCATACATAAGTAATTGGTAAAAGTTACCAAACGGAAATTGCTACTTTACTAAAAGGCGACAGTAGTTTAAAACTCATAAGTCCATTTAGAATATGCCTACTACAGTAAAACTTGGTTATAACGAATTTCTGGGGACCAGTAATATAACTTTGCTATAAATGTAATTCCTTATATTGATTTTCATTGTAAGAGAACATTGGGAATTAGACAAGGCAGTTTGGCCAATGAATCAATAAATTTATTTGTACATAGACATGATAGACAAACAAATAATATTATATTTACGACCTCAGAAAAAAGGTGATGATGTCAGATTGCTTTTGCTTTCTTGAAAATATTTTTTCTATTTCAGTGAGTGCCGAAAATAGGTTTTCACCAATGTCGTCATGTGTTTCAAGTACTCTAACCCGAATAGTCCATCATTTTTTTCCTCGGTTGGTTTTTTTCGTCTATTTCCGAATCATCGGTGTCAGAATCCTTGTTTAAAATATTTTCAACGAGTGCATCAGCTGACTTGGATGCAGTCGCAATAACTTCACTGTAAACTTTAATTGAATCCTCCATTGTGACCCCGATTTGATCTAGTCTGCCCTGATTGCCGTTTCAAATATTTTAGATAAAATAGTTAATAAAAGGACAAGTTTATATTACTTAATTGCTATAAAAACATCTGACCTCCTCTAATTAGATTTTATGTCGATTAGAACTTGTCAGATTGTTAATAAAATATCTTACCTGTGGCCTATTACACTTTGCAATAACTTTCTGTCATTATAAAAAGTGCATATGAATTGAGAAATGATTCATAATGTCAGAAACTTTGCTGTAAGCGAATTTGTTATATTCATACATTTTGCCATGCATTTTTATTAGGTTTGGTCGGGATTATTGAAAAGTTTGTTGTCAACATAAATTCAATAAATAAATATAAAAAGAAGGGAAATGTGGTATGATTGCTATTGAGACAACTATCCACCAAAGTTCAAGTGAAAATGATGTAAACAACTGTATGTAATCATACGGCCTTCAACATTGAGAAAAACCCATACTGATAGTCGGCTATAAAAGGCCTTACAATGAAAAATATGAAACAATTCAATTGAGAAAACTGATTGCATAATTTATAACAAAACAATTTACCAAAAACAAAAATGACAGACATGAACAAACGACAACCACTGAACTACAGGATCCTAACTTGGGGCAGGCACATATAGAATGTGGCGGGGTTAAACATATTTGAAGGCTCCAACCCTCCCCAAACCTGGGATATTCATGTAACGGCACAACACAAGAACAAATTACAAAAACAATAAACGAAAAACAAATTTGAAAAACAGCAATGAACTACAGACTACTATTAATGTTGAGGTGATCATTCAATGGTCAAGGTCAAAGTTACTAAAATTAGACTGAACATTGTGCAGAATTGTTTCAGGGTGCTATTTAAAATCATTAAACGAAAAACAAATTTAAAAAACAGCAATAAACGACTGATCACTATTAACGTTGAGGTCATAATTCAATGGTCAAGGTCAAAGTTACTAAAAATAGACTGAAATTGTGCAGAATTGTTTCAGGATGCTAAATCACATACATATGAAATTGCAACCTTACTTGGATATATGGTAACACATAATAAGAAGAAAATCCCTGTTGATTTTGATGTCATTTGGTCTTAAAAAAGGATTTGGGTTAGACAATATTACTTTCTAAAATCACAACATAGAAAGAATCACACTTAAAGCAATCAGATAAAGTTATGTAATCATGTCCCTGTGAGCTCTTCCCATTTATATGGGGGTGTGGGGTATGTGAGGATGTTTACTAAAGGTTCTTTAATTATTTTTATATTTCAGACTAAACTTGAGAAGTATGCCGAAACTGGTGAGATATTTGAGGTGTTTTCTAACATTAGTATGTTTACATTAGATACCATGCTTCAGTCAGCTTTTGCTTATGAAATTGATTGTCAAACCACAGGGTAAGTTATCATAGGCTATTGTATGTACCTCTTAGTTAGATAAAAAGTCTCAGAGCTGTTGCCCCCTAAGAGGTTCCTTTATCGATCAGATTTATGAAGTCAACAGAATATGCCAACAAGATTTGTGGTCGGTGTTGGCTGCATATCTAAGGATTACTGAGTATATGAATAATGAATATTGAATTTTCTTTAAGAAATGATTTATGCCAGCAATCAGTTTATTTGAGATTTTTATATTGAAAACATGACTTGAGCTAAATTCAAACAAGGTATTAATGAGCAATGAAATTTGGAAATATGTTTCAGTGTTAAAATATAAAACAAACTTAGTTAAGAGTTATTCCTGTACTGTCTTTTTTGGATGTTCTTTTATGTATGTTTTATTAATCTACTGATTGATATTAAATAGAAGAGAAGTCATCCGAGTTTTGAGATCTCCAAAAAATATTTTTATCCAGCCACATTTTGTCTCAAGTTAGAAACCTCATCAGTAGTTGTCGTATGTCATATTTGTTTTTTCGTTATTTGGAGAATTGGTTTTAAATGGCAGATCTTTGATTGTTTCTGTTGAATTAGTTCACAAATTTTATCCACCATCATTTTACTGTTGTTATTTTTACTTTTATTATCAATTACAATGTTGTTATTTTTACACTTGGTACATTTTAGGGAACACGATCCTTACGTTGTAGCTGTACATGAACTTGTAGAACTGGTCACAGAAAGATTTCTGTGAGTACTTTTATAATATTTCTTGTTTCTCACATCTAAATATGGACCATACTTTACCTCAATCATCCTTTGTGGATTTATTTCTATTTTGTATCCAGTGAACAACCAACAGGAACGCGAACCCATACTGAACTACTGGAGTATTGCTAGAACTATATATTCATATTCCCAAAATTTTCAGGTTTTCCATGACAATTTAAAATATTGGAGATTGATTGTTGATGAATAACTCATTATGATTTTTGTTGAAGTCAAACTGATAAAGGAGTAAGTTCAAGAATGGTTCAAATTTGCCTTAAGATTTTGATGTTTTCTTAATAATCCCAAAATTCTACAAATTTCACATAGAATAGAAATAGTTGTGATATTACTATTAATACAATATAATGCTTTTACACATCACATTATAAATGACGAAGTAATGACCCCTAAAGTATGCATTTTTTTTGTCTTGCAACATCTGTTTTGGTCAATTTTTCAATAATTCTAACCAGTTTTCAGCATAATTTACTCTGGCTGTCAGGTGTGATCCAGATATTTTGTGTTTTTAGGGTCTCAATATTTTCATTGACATCTTTTGATTACAGAACATTTTGGCTCCTAGGTTGCAGCGAAGGTTTTCTTCAATCTTTTAGGTCAGAAAAATGCTCAAAATCATCATATTTTGACAATATATCCAAAATGTGCTGACTTTGACATCTAGAATGTACTCTTATGAAGAGATTTGTCTAATCTAGTAGTAAGACTTTGAAATAAATTCAATAAATTTTGTAACCTGAATTTATAGTCATTTTGATATTTTATAATAAATTTTGAATTCAAGGCCATATTTGATCTAACGTGAACCTTTTCCTTATAGGCAGCCTAGTCTGGATGACAAGCTAGGTATAGGTGATGAATAATTTATATTCTATAAACCTTTTTGCAGGAAACCATGGCTTCACAATGACCTTATATATCTGTTGACCCCAGATGGTAGAAAGTTTAAGAAACATTGTGACTTTGTACATAAAGTGGCAGAGGATATAATATCAAAAAGGAGAAAAGCTATAGTATGTATTTTATTCCTATAAACAGCAAGTATGTCTTAAAAACATGGTTTATAACTACAATAAAATTTACTAAAAAACAATTTTGTTTTTGAAAGTTAGTTTACTGTTTCTGATCTTCTGATCTGTTGTGAGTACTGCCGAAGAAAGACTTATGTATGACTTAATTATCTACTGTGGAAAGAAATTTTTTAACTAAAAAAGAAATATTATTTTGCTATTTTCATTCAAGATTAGAAATTATTCATTATATTAAATATCTGGAACTAAATAAAGATTCATAGACAATACTTAACAAATCTAAAAATTTTGTTCGCTCTGGTACTGACCTCATTTTTGCCAGAAAAATAACTAACTACACTTTGAGTAATTACAATTACTACTGGTATCCTGATCCAAAATCCCTTGAGAGATCCAAATACTGAGGAACAATTACACTATGTTTTAATAGTGCAATTTGTAAGTTAAATCTAAATCATATTCCAACAAAGGATTTATGCTCCATGGGAATCAGATTCAGATTTTACTTACCCACTGTTTTGTGGTGGTCTCGTGTAATTGCTCCTTGGTATTCGGATTCCTCCGTGGATTTCGATCCGGATACCCGGTGTGACAATTGTGTTTGCTAAGGATTACAGATTGTTATATGTTAACAAAGTGGATAAATATTCACAATGCAATAAAATTTATTTGCCATTTGCTTGTTGTTGATACTTGTTCATGAATAGCAATTTCTAGAGATTGTCGGACTCAATGGTCCAGTGATCTAAGTATTTCATCTACAATAATCATAAGTCTGTCAACTATGAGGATGTAAGCTTGAACCCTGCTCTTTGCCATTTGTTTTTCGATCTTAATTAACAAGGAAAGTCATTTTCCCGCTGAAGGTCATCAGTGGTTTTGTCTGGTATCTCTGAACTTCCTTGGCGATAAAAACTGGCTGATATGAAATAGCCAAGATTTATGAAAGTGGCAGTAAACACCCAACAAACAAAAATACATAGTAATGAAATTAGTATCTTTTTTTAACAGAAAAAAGAAGCTAAAGGTTATTCTCAGAAGAAGAGCTTAGATTTTTTGGACATACTTTTATCAGCTAGAGATGAAAATAATCAAGGATTAACAGATTTAGAAATCAGAAATGAAGCTGATACATTTCTGTTTGAAGGTATTATTTCAAATATAACATAAAACATAGAAGTATCTAGTAACTGTATTGTTCATGTCATCTTTTATTTAATGTAATCAGTAAAACTTTTGCTTTATAGATTTGATTGATGTGTGCTATACTTCCAGTGGCAAATATTTCATGAATAATCAGGACTTTTTGTAATATTTTTTATTCAACCAGCATTTCAATGGACAAAACTGATAATAATTTTTTTCACCACTTACTGTGGTTTCATTTATTTTCTTAGATACCAATTTTGTTGGATTGAGGAAAACTTGCATTTTCGTGGATATTTGATTTTGTGGTTTTGGCAGAGTCTGCATATAAAATTATAGAAAGTTTGTCATTTTTTGAAAATTCAAATTAGTAGTTCACCTGTACCCACTAAGTCATGAAAATTATGAATCATAACGAATAATAGCTTATCCACAGTATATTTTTAATGATATTTACTTTGTATGCTCAATAGGAAGAGATATTTTGCTATTAACCATCTCTTTGAACTCATGGAAACATGCTATGTTGGAGGAAATGTTTTTAATCCTGGCTTTGTCATACCAAAGACAGTAAAATTTGTATTTGCTGCTTCTCCACAGAGAAGTGCAACAATGAGAAGGTCAAAGACTGATTGCCATGAGAAATAGATTGTTCCAACACAAAGTCTGCAACATACTATTTTCTGCTGAGTAGACAGTTTAATTTCAAATATCAAATATTAAGGATCACTCAGCAAGCCTCATTTTTTTTATTTGAAAATTACCTTAACCCATATGAATCTATTTATATCTCTAAACAGTATGTATGATCATGTATCATTCTTTGAAATAGGACATGATACAACAGCTAGTGCCCTGTCCTGGGCCTTGTATTCCCTGGCTGAACATCCAGAGATTCAGAAGAAATTACAGGCTGAAGTAGATGAGGTTCTACAGGGAAGGGATACAGATGAAATTCTCTGGTTAGTTAAAATGTGTATTTCCTGCTAATCACTGAAAATCAATATATAACATTAATTAATTTGTGATATTTTCATCTGGATTATTAGTTTGATTATAAGAATAAAAAGTATCAAAAACTCCAATGCTGGAATGAATTATGAATTTTGTTAATGGCAACTTATGCCCGTCATTGTGCACATAAATAAGCTTACGTTCTAAAACTTGTCATAAACATATTGCCAGGTAAGTTGTAGATTTTTTTTTTTTTTTTTTTTTTTGCTATTTCAAAATATAAGTGAAGAAATTTATAAGAACAATTTTAGTCATTTTGAAAATTGTTTCATAAATGGCAAAAATGACAAGTGTTAGCAAATTCACCACAATTTAATTTCAGGGATGACTTACCAAAGCTGCAGTACACTACTATGTGTTTAAAGGAGGCAATGAGGTTGCACACCCCTGTACCCTTTATCCAGAGAGAACTAACAGAGCCAATGGAGTTAGATGGACATGAAGCACCTGCAGGGACACAAATCAGTATTATGTTATATAACTGTCATCATAATCCACTCGTCTGGCCAAATTCTATGGTAGGTTCTGGTTAAGAAGGTTCCTGCAGGGACACAAATCAGTATTATGTTATATAACTGTCATCATAATCCACTCGTCTGGCCAAATTCTATGGTAGGTTCTGGTTAGGAAGGTTCCTGCTTGGACACAAATTAGTTTAATGTTATATAACTGTCATCATAATCCACTCGTCTGGCCAAATTCTATGGTAAATTCTGGTTAGGAAGGTTCCTGCTGGAACAAAAATCAGTATTATGTTATATAACTGTCATAATAATCCACTCAACTGCCTCATGGTCTCGTGGTAGCGTGTTCACCTCAAGTGTTGGAGGTCATGGCTTCGAACCCCAGCCAGGTCAAACCTAAGTCTTTAAAATTGGTATTTGCTGCTTCTCTGCTAAGCACAAGGCATTAAGGAGTAAGAGCAAAGACTGGTCGGCTCAACGTGAGAATAATGTGTCCAGGTAAGGTGACATGTCTTTCTGTGGACTGTTACCCTGTGAACTAGCACACTAAAAATCAGGCTCAGCTTGTCGGTCTAGTACAAAGCAGGGTAAATATTCATATTACATTAACATGTTGTCATCCTGAATATGCATATTAATTTGCCGCTGGATTTTAAGCAGCCATCCATCATCATCATAATCCACTCGTGTGTCCAAATTCTATGGTAGGTTCTGGTTAGGAAGGTTCCTGCTGGGACACAAATTAGTTGAATGTTATATAACTGTCATCATAATCCACTCATCTGGACAAATTCTGTGGTAGGTTCTGGTTAGGAAGGTTCCTGCTTGGACACAAATCAGTATCATGTTATATAACTGTTATCATAATCCACTTGTCTGGACAAATTCAATGGTAGGTTTTGGTTAGGAAGGTTCCTGCTGGGACACAAATCAGTATCATGTTATATTACTGTCATCATAATCCACTTGTCTGGACAAATTCAATGGTAGGTTTTGGTTAGGAAGGTTCCTGCTGGGACACAAATCAGTATCATGTTATATTACTGTCATCATAATCCACTTGTCTGGACAAATTCAATGGTAGGTTTTGGTTAGGAAGGTTAGTGCTGGGACAAAAATCAGTATCATGTTATATAAGTGTCATCATAATCCACTTGTCTGGACAAATTCAATGGTAGGTTTTGGTTGGCACTTGTACATATACAGAAGATAAGTCATACATTAGTAGGATTTTGTCATGTGATGTCCTATTATATCTCACTTTATGGTATTGGCAATACTCATTGTTAAAGGCAGTATAGTGCCCAAAGTTGTTTACATCTTCATCATTTGGTCTGTGGTGGATAGTTATCTCATTGGAAATCATACCACATCTCCTTATTTATTGCTAGGACCAATACATGATGTATTACCAGTAGTCTCAGTTTATAGTCATCAATTAAGGTTTGATTAGCATATTGTATATGAAACAAAGATTATGTGGTATAAACATTAATGAGACAACAATCTAATAACACATGTTTTCATGGAATTAAACATTCATAGGGCTTTCACTCTTCAATGATTGACACACCACATGGCAAACTCACAGCCAGTTTAGACCAGCTGTGAATGCTTCAGAGGCAACTGTAAACCAAATTGTACAATGACAAAAAACTTAGAGAGACTGTGACAACCATTAAAAAGGTGTTCTATATTTTTTATTTTTTTTTATGAATTGTACATTTTAATTTGCTTTTAACATATAGTATTAACTGGCTGGTAATTCATCTAAAATATATTCATCTTGGCTTTTTTAAATATGTTCTGTACAAGTAGGAAAAATAATCTTCATTGATAGTTTATAATTGAACAAGTTGTCATACAATGCTTTGGTTTTTTTTCTAGCAAGATATAGATTATAATTGTTATAACACATGTATAAGGAAGGGAAAATGGTAAAAAAAAAACTGAGCCAATATTTTAATATTTGTTGTTTAAAAATATTATATGAATATTCAATTTTTTAAATTGACATAGTAATATATATTTATTGGTTCTGTTCATTTATTTGAAAAATTTAATATGCATAAAACATAGATTGGATTTAGAATTTAAATATTAATAGAATAAATTAATAATAAGTTACCTCCCTTAGAACATCTGTGTTCCTACATTTATTGATCATGCTATCACACTGTTTTTACATTGGACCGAGTTGCAGTCTGATATATGTTCTCTTCATTTGTAACAGTTGTGAGTCAAATTCAAATTGAAAACAGTCCAAATGGTTAACCAATACATGTATTAATAAAAAGATATTTTCTTTGTAAAAATAAAAAGATATTTTCTTTGTAAAAAAGATATTTTATTTGTAAAAATAAAAAGATATTTTATTTGTAAAAATAAAAAGATATTTTATTTGTAAAAATAAAGATGATATTTTCTTAGTCACATTTGCTCTTGTAGTTAATCACTTTTGTACTGAGTTGGATGGTGATAAAATGGAAATCTAATGTAAACTGTCAAGATATTTACATGATACTAAGTAAAATGATTTTTTTTATCTGTCACCATTTAAAGGTTGTCCATTTCACCAAAAAATTTGTACAATTTTTTTCAGGACTATATACCAGAAAGATTTTCTCCAGAAAATGTAGAGAAGAGAGATGCATATGCTTTTGTACCATTCTCAGCAGGTCCAAGGTAAAATTTGTAAATTTATTTTCAAAATTTACAAAAAAGGGGGCCTTGTTGGTCAAGTGGTAGAAGTAATGTAGATGCATTTATTTTTGAGGATTGACAAAAAATGTATATTGAGGGATATTTGATTTCGTGGTTTGTCATAGTCTGCATAAAGCTTATTAAAAATCTGTTCTTCATTGAACTTTTAAATTCATGCTTCACCAAACCAATAAAATCCAAGAACATGTGTATCCCACGAATAATAATAATGAAATCACAGTAATTCATCTACAGTGATCAATATTCTGTTAATTCTATATGTCAAGCTGATCCATAAGCATGCAGTGTTAAAGGTATAAAATAGGAGAAGGATTTATAAGGGGTATGGATAGTAATGAAGTGGTGTGCAATCTTCTGTAATGTTGGAAGTTTTCACGATGGGTTTGTTTTTGCTTATTTATGAGATTAATAGAAAATCACAAAACATATCCTCTAGCTTTAAATGATCTTTATAATTAAGGAAATTCAGATATAAAAGACCTGAATCACTCAGGCACCAAAATATAACCCCACATACAGGTTTGGCCAAAGAAATTGAGAAATTTATAAAACTCCACAGATATAATTATCAAAGTAAGACCCCTTTCCAAATTAAGACCCCTTTCAAATGAAACTATCAAAAAGAAAAAAATGAGAGTTTATAATTTCGTGAGACCTATCATGGTGTAATTTTTAAAATATTTGCAAATATTTCTGAATTTACAGTGATTTAATCTTAAATGGAAATAAATCTAAGATTCAAACACCTTCCAGTGTACATGTATTTAGGATACATTAAAATAATTTAGTTATTTTATTATTGTTTTTAACAGCATTAGATATATGCAACCAGATGTTTGCACTTGCATGTACAAGTGTTAATAGGTCATGGCCATGCTAAAACATTGACATTGGTGTACTGAGATTTTTTTTTTACAAATGAGAAGGTGATGATAAGGCCAAATTTGTGGCCCCTTTAATTTGAAAACCAAATGCTTATTATAAATCTAGGTAGGGTCTTGGATCATACTGAATATTGTCTAAAACTATGAGTTAAATATATAAAAATAAGGAGATGTGGTATTATAGGCTATGAGACATATATCCACCAGAGGCCGAAGGACGAGGATGTAAACAACTATGAGCAAGAACCATATTAATAGGAGGGTCGTAAAGGGTTATTTTCGTGCAACGTGTCTTGCCATTTTTATTTCACGTGCAGTCGTGAAAAAGGTTCGTTATTCTCCGTGTTTCGTGAAATCGGTAAGAAGATCAACGTGCAAGACATTTTTAATTGTTCGTTCATCGTGAAATGACAATTTTATTTCGCGTTCTTCCGTGCAGATACCCCCTCTTTACGCCCCTCATATAGCATGCAATAAAAGGGCCAGTATGTAAAATTGGGAAACAATTTAAAAGAGGGAAAACCAATGGCTTGGTTTTTGCTAGACACAATAATTCAAAAACAAATATGGCAGACAGCAATCAACAACAGCCACTGATTTGCAGGCTCCTGTGTTTATTTCCACACGCAACATTATAATGATGTCACAAGTGACATTCTGCACTGAAATGCTACTCATTTATCAATGAAATTAAATAAGTTTGAAAGGCTTGAAGAATTTTAATATATTTGCAATTTCAGGGACCAGATATTGGCTATTATCATACCTTTTTATTTCATGTTTAAAAGAAGTTATTTACCATTGCAAGGTTAACGAGTGGGTGCTGTATGGTTATTGTTTTGTGACTGTAAAATTGAATAATGATTACCAAATAAGTTGGAGTCTATGGTCTCATTAATGTTACTTCTGTTGAACATTGCATTGTAAGCACTCTTTCGCGTACATTACTTGTTGAATTTTGATGAAATTTATATCAAAGGCTAATATCAGCAAGGTCTTTGAAGAGTGTCAACCAACTATTTTTACAATAGTTAAGTCCCTTGGATATAAAAATGATATGGAAAATAACTTTGCTAGCGATCTCATGTCTACATATCTTGTAAGATATTTAATAAAAGTTTAAAAGAACCAAACAATTTTTTCTAGTTATTGCCCTTGGACAGATAAAATATGTAAAAGTCCAGGGACATTCAAACGATGTTCTTTTATCTTTTATCGTCATTATATTGTTGTCTCATTGTTATATGCATACTCTATATCAGCTTTTCCTTCATATCTATAAAAGGTTTTGTAAAGTTACTTGTTTGAGGTATACATGTAGGATGCTGTAATTTATATACTCCCACATATCTATGATGTTTAGCATTTTTGTCAACAACATCGTAATAAAAATGATATTAATATATAAAGGAGAGGTTAGCAATGCAATTAAAGATAAGAGATTTACTTTTCTGTTAGGTACATACCAAAGATTCTTTTAAGAGTTTCATTGAACTTATCTACTGGTACAGACAGGTACAGATACTATAAAAAAATAATTTTCGTGAGCTATTTATTTCTGCAAGTAGAAAAATAATGCCAATATGAATTGTCATGATTATGTTAAACTTAGATCTTTCCTTATTTAACTATATCAAGTAAATTTTAAAATGGTGTAATTAAATAGTGGGCTAGAAAGGGCTAAATGTGAAATAAAGTATCACCAAATATAAGTTGGATTTCAGTAATAGATTGTTTGTTAGTGTTTAATACCAGTTTCAGTTACCTTGGTTTTATCATGGTGGCCTGTTTTTATTGGTGGAAGAAGCCATCGTTCCTCCAAACTTTGAAAGAAAAACTGTCAATCCTTGTCAATTAAAATTCTAGTAGGATACACTTGGCTGCAAACGGGTTTGAACTAACAACTTTAGAGTTGACAGGGTAGTGATCACTTTAGATGAACTTCTTATACCACTGGGCCATTGAGGTCCCCCTCAGATAATAGATATTGAACAACAAAGAACGACCATTGAGGTCCCCTCAGATAATAGATATTGAATGGCAAAGTACGGCCATCGAGGTCCCCTTCAGATAATAGATATTGAATGACAAAGTACGGCCATTGAGGTCCCCTCAGATAATAGATATTGAACGACAAAGTAGGCTATTGAGGTCCCACTCAGATAATAGATATTGAATGACAAAGTACGGCCATCCAGGTCCCCCTCAGATAATAGATTGTGATGAAAAAGTACAGCCATTGAGGTCCCCCTCAGATAATAGATATTGAACGACAAAGTACGGCCATCGAGGTCCCCCTCAGATAATAGATATTGAATGACAAAGTATGGCCATCGAGGTCCCCCTCAGATAATAGATATTGAATGACAAAGTACAGCCATCCAGGTCCCCCTCAGATAATAGATATTGAACGACAAAGTAAGGCCATCCAGGTCCCCCTCAGATAATAGATATTGATGACAAAGTACAGCCATTGAGGTCCCCCTCAGATAATAGATATTGAACGACAAAGTACGGCCATTGAGGTCCCCACAGATAATAGATATTGAAGGACAAAGTACGGCCATTGAGGTCCCCTCAGATAATAGATATTGAACGACAAAGTATGGCCATTGAGGTCCCCACAGATAATAGATATTGAATGACAAAGTACGGCCATCGAGGTCCCCCTCAGATAATAGATATTGAATGACAAAGTACGGCCATCGAGGTCCCCCTCAGATAATAGATATTGAACGACAAAGTATGGCCATTGAGGTCCCCCTCAGATAATAGATATTGAACGACAAAGTATGGCCATTGAGGTCCCCCTCAGATAATAGATATTGAACAGAAAATTTGACATGACTTTCATTATATACATGTATGTGTGTATTTGTAAGCAGCAATATTATTATACAATACTGTAAATTCAGAAATAATTGTGGGCATTTATTAGTGCGAGTTTAGAAGAATGGACGAAAATTGGCCAATAATTATTGCAATTTCAGGAAAATCTGTATTCAGATATATGTATCAGATATTAAAATGTGAGTTCTGACCCAGTCGCATTAATTGCAATAAAAAAAAACTCTCAATAATTTCTGAATTTACAGTATGTTGTATTTGTTTTCAGCTTAAGCAAAATCTATACTTTTTTAACCTTTTAATAGACCATACACCTGACAGATTATAACTTTTTACCAGATAATTAAGTTGGAATTGCTTTTAGGTAATAAAATTAGACAAATTAGTTACCAGTTGTTTAAACTACTTAAATTTTATAACTAACATATCTTAACAATTTTAATACTTTAAAACATATGGCATGCTTGGATTTAATTCTTTTATTTTCTACTATTCTTGAACAAAGTGTGTTTTCTACAAGAAATATTTGTTATTTTTTACACCTATGCTCATCAAAAGTTAAAAATGAGTTTGAAGTATGGCATATAAATGTGTTTTATATAACTTTTTAACACCAGTTACAACTTATTAACCCACAAATTTATTATGTATTAATCCATAAATCATTTTATGGTGGCTTCAAGGATTTTTGGGTTACCCTCTCCTACAGCTGAAGTAATTAATAACATCATTTGGAGAACATTTTAAGATTGACTTCAAATGAAAATGGTCTTTAAATATTTAAGTTTATCAGGAAATGTACATTTTACTCTGGGTGGTGTATGAATATTGTAAAAATTGTAAGTCCTTCAGTGTAAATGAAAAGTCAGAGAATATACGGTCTTTGTATAGTTTTAAGACTACTTGTCTCAGGTTAAAGGTCTGTATTTAGTGAAACAAACTCAAAACCTACAAATGCTTGAACTTATTTGAACTGCACATCTTTCATTTTTAGAAACCAACCATAGAACTACAAATGATTTAAATTGTATTCCTTGTACAGCTTTTGCTTCTTAAATCTTAAGTCCCACATGGGACAATTATGTTACCAAAAAAATAAGCCCGAGTTTTGGATTTATATCTGAAGACTATCAGAGACGATTTTTTTTGTGGTGCAAAGAATTTTTTCAATAGAATGCGCTGTGAAACACTTTCAAAAACTAAAATGAAAACTTTTTCAAAGCACAGAATTTTTGCATTACAATGATCTGTGCTGTGCAAATCATATAAGCATACATCTTAGATAGTAATATTCACTTCAAATGATCCTTCTGACCACTTGAAAATTATATGGCTAAATCTTGAAGTTATTAAGTTGCAACCCTTGATAGAAAATAGTCAAGCACTTTCTGAGATTTACCTATTTGCCCTGACAGAGGCCTTGGTGGTTTTTGGCATCCATGTTTTGTGGATTCGTGCTTTTATTGTCCAGCAGAAGTTGCAGAAAGCGAGACATAGGGATAGTGATCCGGCGGCAGTGGCATTAACTGACAACTTAAAAGCTTAATATTTCAGAAGGTAGAAGACCTGGATGCTTCATACTATGTATATAGGTACCTTATGTTATGAAGTTTCTGTCTGTCATATGTCCATTGTCTTTGACCTAATTTTCATGGTTCAGTGACTACTTGAAAAAAGTGCAGATTTTTTGTAATGTTAATTTCTCTCTTATTATGAGTAATAGGATAACTATATTTGGTATGTGTGTACATTGCAAGGTCCTCATGCCTGTCAGACAGTTCTTGACCTTGACAAGTTTTTGTGTTTTGGTCTGTTTTTCTTATACTTTATGCAATAGGTCAACTATATTTGGCGTATGGATATATTTTACGATGTACATGTCAGTCTTGCAGGTTTTATTTGACCTTCACCTCAATTTCATGGTTCATTGCTCAGTGTTAAGTTTTTGTGTTTTGGTCTGTTTTTCTTAAACTATAAGCAATAGGTCAACTGCATTTGGTGTATGGAATGATTGTAAGGTGTATATGTCTGTCTGGCAGGGTTCATCTGACCTCAACCTCATTTTCATGGTTCATTGGTCAATATAAAGTTTTCATGGTTTGGTCTGTTTCTTGTATACTATAAGCAATGGTTCAACTATATTCAGTGCATGGAATGATTGTAAGGTGTACATGTATATCTGACTTGGTTTATCTGACTTTGACCTCATTTTCTTGGATCATGTTAAGTTTATGTGATACTTGTAGTAAAATTTTATATTTAGGACTATCAACAGAAAATCAATGGTCAGTAAAGCAGCGAGACATTTCAGCGTGTGCACTCTTGTTTTATTTTCTTCAAATGGTTGGGCCTAGGTGCCCCAGTGGTCTAAATGGTTCATCTACACTGTAACAGTATCACTAGCCTGTCAACACTGAGGTTGTGAGTTTTGGAAGTGGCATTAAACACCAATAATCAGTCAATCAATAAATCATCAAATGGTTGGTTTATCATCTGTGCTATGAGGTCTAAACTGTAGAGCATTTCATCCCATTGTAAATTTAAAAGTGATCTTGATATGTGTTTATAAATGACTGCTATTTATACAAAACTTACAGAGAATACAAAACTTATAGAGAATACAAAACTTATAGAGATAAGATGTAGATATCAGAGAGAGAGCTACTACAAAGTGTGAAATTTTTGTGAGGCTTTATTTTGCTAATTTTGGGATTACTATTCCCTTTCATAAACTGTATCGTTAAGAAAGCTAAGAGTCAGGGACAGGATAATGACAAAATGAAACCTCTTTTACAGATTTGACCTTTGAGGTCAAGAAAATAAACCACTTTAAAGTAAATTATACCCCTCTCTAGGAGTTGGGGCTTTATTGCAATCATCTGTCTGTCTGTCTGTCCATCTGTCCAACAAATATTTTTGTCACACTTTTCTTAGAAACTTCATAATTAGTCAGCAACCTGACAGTGAAGAAATTGCAACATGTGAACCCTTTTGGGATCTGTCAGTTACCTACTTCCTGTTTGCCAATACAATAAAAATTAAAAGTAGCATGTGTGTGTTTTCAGATCTGTCAGACACATACTGCCTGTTTTTAAATACTATGAATTAGGAGTGTGGGAATGCTTACACGACAATGCGTTCAATCTTGTTGTACAAATTGAGGAACACTGAGTTCATAAAAGTTTTCATTTTTTAACAGATGATTATTGCTTGATTTTTTTCTTGATATTTTTCAGAAACTGTATTGGACAACAGTTTGCTCTACATGAGATGAAAACAGTGCTTGCCAAAATATTTAGAAGGTTAGTCCTCAATATGTTTTGGTCTTAACATTTAAGATGCTTTTTAAAAAAAATAATTTATAAAAAAACTATGAGGATATAGATAGAGACACATGCAATCTTGTTAAAATTATCATAAATGTACAGGAGGAAAATAATTCTTATTGAAACATTTCAGGTGTTCAACTAAATGCACTAATAAACCTAGCCAAATAACTGAGAGAAAAAAACGTGTTAAAAAAATTGTTTACAAATTTTGAGAACATTACGTTGAATTCTTATGGTTAAATCTGACGATATCTGAGCATAAATCATGCACATTTTTATAATTTATAAGGTCATAAAGTAGAAATATATGATATACAGATGTTCAAACTTGAAAAATCCTGCCCCTTTAATTGGAAAATACTAAGTTGTTTTGGAGATAGCAACGATTTGTTAGTGATAAAACTAGAACGATGTGCTTCAAATTAAAAAAGAGTACCACTATTACTCAACCGATTATTAATTTTAGAAATATTTAACTACTGATGATAGATAATTTGAATAAATATATCGTAAAGAATGACATACAACAACGTTATCTTGAAATGAACGTGATAAATGTTTGATTATCTCCCCTTTTCACATTACAAGTACCAACAACTTAGATTTATTCTCATCTGCTGGCCTGCAAGAAGTGTCCACTTATTGTAATGTTCATATTAATGTGCCTTCATGGCTTTACCATACCATAACACTCGTTACAAGATGACATCTTAACACTGTACTGGACCACCTTATACCATTGTAGTATCTCAGTGATTTATCATGAAAAATACTAAATATACACCATAATTGCTTATGAATAAAAATAAATTGAATTTTATTTGAAGAATTTTTATGTTTTTTTGCAGGAATCATTGTTAACATTGTTTTATCATGAAAAATACCAAATATTCTCTATAATTGCTTATGAATAAGAATAGATTGAAATTTATTGGAGAATTTTTATGTTATTTACAGGAATAATTTTTCTGACTTGTGCAATTAACATATTTTACATAGAAGAGAGAGTTTTTTCAACAGTTAAAATTGCTGTTAGAAATCTCTGAACAATTGTTAATATAACCAACCTTTTTTAAGAAAATCGGTTTTTATTGTAATATACTGGTTAATTAAAAAAATCCATTTTAATGTACTCATCAGGTTTAAACATTGGCTCTCCCAATTCCAGTCATTTATCGTGGTCTACCAAGATAAAAAAATTGTTTACTAGTAGAAATATTTTCACCGTTCTAATTATGTTTAGTTGAAAAGTTCAATATGTAAACCAATGGACATACCGTAACGGTATTCAGAAATTCTACTTTTGTCCTTGTCAATTATAAATTTCATTGTGGTCTCAGCATACATATGATGCCTAGACAAATTAAAATGTCCCAAAATGTGACACAGATTCTGAATTGGACCATTATAAGACTATAACCAGTACCTGATAAGTCTGAAAAAAGATCTCCTACCAAAATGTACTATATGATTTTGGTCCAGGTTGGGCGAAGTTTATAGTATGATGATATTGGGCAGATGGCAGGGCGTTCAGGGAAAAGTGGGTACGTAGTTTGTGTACTCAACTCCTACGACAGTTTCCAGCCCAGATCCCTGAAACTTCACAGGAAGTTGTACACCTGCTATTACCAGATTATTTTAGGACTTTTTTCTCATTTTGCAGACTTGGGAACTTAGTAATTTTTCAGAAAAAAATCATAAAATAGGGTACAAGGTTTGTATAATCAACTCCTACAGTTTTCACCTAGATCTCTGAAACTTCACAGGAAGATTGCACATATGTCAAAGTTGTGCACCTGCTATATGGGATTGTTTGAGGAATTTTGGGAACTTAGTCATTTTTCAAATATTTAAATGTTCAGTATAGATCATTCTCCATTGTTTAAGAAACATTCTGTGAAACCTAGCCATTTGAATCTATTTTTGTGGAGCCTGGGAAATTTATTTCACGAAAGCGAGATATAGGCTGAGCCAAAGCGATCCTAGATTCCGTCGTCGACATCATCAACACTTAGGTTCAGTCTGGTGTTAAAGTTTTTTTTAGACATCAATAACTTTGTCAACCCTACATGGAATTTTATGAAATCTGGACAGAAGCTTGTTTATGACCACAATAGAGTATCCAGAGCAAAATTTAGAAAATTTATTTTCATTTTTTCCATATTTTAGTGATAAAGGGACTTTAATAGTTTTTTTACAGTTAACATTTAGATTTAGTCTGAGGTTAAAGTTTTTCAGTAATCAATAACTTTGTCAAACCTTCATGGAATTTTATGAAATTTGGACAGAAGCTGTTTATGACCATAATACAGTATCCAGTGCAAAATTTTGAAATTATTTATTTTCATTTTTCCGTATTTTAGTGATAAATGGACTGAGTGTTTGTACAGTTAACATTCAGATTTAGTCTGAGGTTAAAGTTTTTCAGTCATCAATGACTTTGTCAAACCTTCATGGAATTTTATGAAATTGGGACAGAAGCTTGTTTATGACCAAAATACAGTAGCCAGATCAATTTTTAAAAAATATTAATTTTCATTTTTCCGCTATTTACTGATAAATGGACTTACTGTTTTTACAGTTAACAAGTAGATACAGTTTGGGGTTAAAATTTGTTACACATCAATTACTTTGTCAAACCTTCATAGAGTTTAGTATGAAACTTTGGCAGAAGCTTTTTAATGATTTAGAGATAATGTCTGAAGCAAACCTTTGAAAATATATTTTTGTTATTTTTAGTATTTTTCTGATAGATGGACTTTGTTTTTTACAATTAAAATTTACACACAATCTGGGATTAAATTTTTACATGATAAATTTGTAAACCTTCATGGATTGTTATGTAAACTTGGACAGAAGCTAATCTTCAAGACCAAGAAATAGCATCGAAAGAAAAAGTTTGAATTCTGTATCTTACTGATAAATTGACTCACATTTTATGTCCACATTACACTTTTACACTCAGACAGCAGAAATCTCAGGTGAGACACAGGGTTCCCCCTCACAAATTTTAAAAAATTGCCAAGAAAATCTGAAGTTTACAGAAATCCTAGTCTTTTTTAAACAATCACATTGCCATTTATATGATGAATATCTTGATTATTTCATTTTTAGTATTTTCAGAAGAAATGTATGTTTTATACTTGCAGATACTCATTGAAATTAGACCCTACTCACAAGGTGGAGAAATATGAAACATTGGTTATGAGGTCACAGACTGGTATAAAGATGAAGGCATTTAGAAGATAATTACCATTCAAATCAAATATTAATGTCATTGAACAACTTCCTACCTCCTTTTTAAAGAGGTTGCATCATCAACTCTAACATAATTGAATTGATGAAAGTGTTTAATGACTATATTTTTATACTGTTAATTGTGTTTTTTATCAATAATTTAATTAATAAGCCATAATATGTTTTTTATTTTATTATTGTTTTGATGAGAAGTGGAATCATGTGTGATTGTGAGAAGAGAAATTAATATTTTTTATGTTCTCATTCATTCCTCAACAGAACATAAAGTATTAAATCCTTAAACCACAACACTTAAGCTAGTAGTAAAAAACAAAAACACCATACCATTATGGGATCAGCTCGCCAGGTGTGCAGCAAACTTTATTAGATTTATTAAACAAGAAAAGTCTGTCACATGACATCTGCACTGGCCGCTGCCATGTTGAAAAATCTACAAATACAAAACAGAAACAGTCAGTATACAAATAAATGAAAACAAAAATATATATTCACCATACAAATATTTATGGGTGGGAGATTGGGTTAGCTGCACTGACAACTGAGCAATGATTATGAAGTGTAGTTTGATAAACAAAGAAACTAGTATTCCCACTTTTGAATTTTGTTAATTTAACATTAGTTACAGGTCCATTTCCGACCAACGATAAAAAAACTAATATACACATGAATGGTCACTAGAATAAGGTAACCTATGCACAAGTTTTATACAATGGGGAATAAATACATTTGTACGATGTGAATGTATATGCACATTTTGTCAATAATTAAAATGTCTATATTTTTGTTGCATTATTATTTAAATATTATTCTGTTTTCAATTAAAAAAAAGGTTTTGTTTATTTTGGATAATATTATAATATAATCAAATAATATCCAAATTGATATTTTAGATTTTATTTTTATAATATGAGGCAAGTGCTACCTGTGCTGGATGAAGTTCCTTATTATTTTTGTGATACTTTTTGTAATCAGATAAATACAAATTAGCAGGAAGTTGTATGCTTTACAACATGGCAGCCTCCATAAACAGCATGAATGGGCAAATGCAACTGTTCCAAATTTCATGGATTCATTAGTATATTGATTTTTTTTTATTGATTTTCTTACTGTTATGAGAACTACCTCTGGAAATTTCTCCTCTATACAACATATCCATGGTAAGGGGTCTTTTTATAGAATTAATCTGAAATGCGCTTTAAAAGGTTTCCAGTTAGCACTACCCCCCCCCCCCCCCAAAAAAAAAATGTCTGAAAACACAAATTACCATATGCTGTTTCATAATTGATGTACTATGGTATAAGGGTATCCCACTCGTAATACATTCATCTAAACTGTAATATGAATATGAGATAAAGCTTATTATTTTGATAAATATATATTTTGTCATGTGGTTTGAAATCTTATAAATTTTGTACCAAATTCTTTAGAAATTTTTGTACCATAGATATGTTTAAAGCAAGTTAACTTCAAAATTTAACCTTGATTACTACATATGTATGTACACTTTATTGTTTTAAATTAATGCTACAGGTATGCAGAGGAAATTGTTTGATTAATATATGAAATAAATTTACATTTGTTTGTTTGTTTGTTTGTTTGTTTAATTCAGTGCAACATTCCACAATTTTGTGGCAGTCAAGTTTATTTTTATGAGTAAACAAGTTGAAAAAAATTGTGACAACTTAATGTCAAACTTAATCATATATTGGTTGATCTACAGCCATTTCTAATTTTTGAATTGACTGTAGCAAGATTTGATTCTGAACCTCTCTTATAAAATATTAAAATCATCTGTACTGAACGATTTATTGATAGTTTCTTAACTTCCACTGGCAAATATTACATCCACAATCTGGAAGATTTATAGAATAACTAATAGAAGAATTCAAATAGAGAAAAATATTCAACGAGTAACCGAACAACACATTAATTCACGAATGCGCGTAGCGCATGAGTTAATTATCAGTGTTGTTCGGTCACGAGTTGAATATTTTTCGATATTTGAATTCTTTGATTAGTTATTCTTTTTATTACATTGGCTAATGGCTTTTTTTAATGAAATTAATGTAGAAAATGTAAGGAACTATATTTTTTTTCTACGCATTCACAATTTGTTTTGATCCGACGTTATCGACGTCTTGACAACGCCTATTGTTGTATGACGTCAGAGAGTGAAATAACCACGTTTATTTCACATGTGAAATTATCGGTTTTTATTTGACTGGGAAATCAATGTAATTCATTGCTACCAATGTAATAAATCAGGTTATTTAGAGTTTCTCAACTTCCAGTGGGAAGGTGATTACATGTGATTGAAAGTTTCTCAACTTCCAGTGGGAAGGTGATTACATGTGATTGACAGTTTCTTAACTTCCAGTGGGAAGGTGATTACATGTGATTGAAAGTTTCTTAACTTCCAGTGGGAAGGTGATTACATGTGATTGAGAGTTTCTTAACTTCCAGTGGGAAGGTGATTACATGTGATTGAGAGTTTCTCAACTTCCAGTGGGAAGGTGATTACATGTGATTGAGAGTTTCTCAACTTCCAGTGGGAAGGTGATTACATGTGATTGAGAGTTTCTTAACTTCCAGTGGGAAGGTGATTACATGTGATTGAGAGTTTCTCAACTTCCAGTGGGAAGGTGATTACATGTGATTGAAAGTTTCTTAACTTCCAGTGGGAAGGTGATTACATGTGATTGAAAGTTTCTCAACTTCCAGTGGGAAGGTGATTACATGTGATTGAGAGTTTCTCAACTTCCAGTGGGAAGGTGATTACATGTGATTGAAAGTTTCTTAACTTCCAGTGGGAAGGTGATTACATGTGATTGAAAGTTTCTCAACTTCCAGTGGGAAGGTGATTACATGTGATTGAGAGTTTCTTAACTTTCAGTGGCAGCTATTACATGCAGAGTCAGGACTATAACATGTTATAGAGAGTTTAACTTTCAGTGGCAGCTATTACATGCACAGTCAGGATGATCACATATTATAGAGAGTTTAACTTCCAGTGGCAGCTATTACATGCACAGTCAGGATGATAACATATTATAGAGAGTTTATCTTCCAGTGGCAGCTATTACATGCACAGTCAGGATGATAACATGTTATAGAGAGTTTAACTTCCAGTGGCAGCTATTACATGCACAGTCAGGATGATAACATATTATAGAGAGTTTAACTTCCAGTGGCAGCTATTACATGCACAGTCAGGATGATAACATATTATAGAGTTTAACTTCCAGTGGCAGCTATTACATGCACAGTCAGGATGATAACATGTTATAGAGAGTTTAACTTCCAGTGGCAGCTATTACATGCACAGTCAGGATAACATATTATAGAGAGTTTAACTTTCAGTGGCAAATATTACATGTACATTAAGGAAGATTACATGTTTTTGACATTTTCTTAACTTTCAGTGGCAATTATTACATGCACAGTTAGGATGATAACATGTTATAGAGAGTTTTTTAACTTTCAGTGGCAAATATTACATAACATTCAACATGACAACATGTAATTATAAGTTTCTTAACTCCCAGTGGTAAATATAACATGCACAGTCAGGATGATAACATGTTATAGAGATTTTCTTAACTTTCAGTGGCAAATATTACATTACATTCAGCTTGATAACAGGTTATTGAGATTTTCCTAACTTTCAGTGGCAGATATTACAGGCACAATCAGGATGATAACATGTTATTGAAAGTTTCTTTACTTCCAGTGGTAATATAACATACACAGTCATGATAATAACTTGTTATAGAGAGTTTTTTTTAACTTTCAGTGGCAAATATTACATGTACATTCAGGAAGATAACATGTTATTGAGATTTTCTTAACTTTCAGTGGCAAATATTACATTACATTCAGTATGATAACAGGTTATTGAGATTTTCTTATCTTCCAGTGGTAAATATAACATGCACAGTCAGGATGATAACATGTAATTGAGAATTTCTTAACTTTCAGTGGCAGATATTACAGGCACAATCAGGATGATAACATGTTATTGAGATATTAGTATAGCCTGCTTGTACGAAACTCACACGCTGAAATAGACTTTTAACCTGCTACCTCGCAAGGTCGCAAGTCTATGAGATCTTGTAACTCTATTCAGAGACATTATTCTGACTTCTTACCAAGCTGTATTTGTTTTTTCTTTAAAATGCTGTGTGCTTGACTTAAAGCAGTAAATACTGATTTTAAAGACTTGTTTCAATCAAGTATTGAACCCACAACCTTTTGCACTTGAGTTGAGCTGGCTTCCAAGAGACACTATGACAGTATACAGTTGTCTGCAAAGAAGGATACGGACAGTTGTTTTTACATTTTTAATCTTTAATATATTTATGGATAAGTCTGCTGCTGTTTCTTGTGGACATCTTTATGTTATTTTATAGAATATAATCTTATTCAACCATTTCCGTTTTCAGACTAAATCTTATGAAGGAAAACTATTTTGTTTTTATTTTTCTTTATAACATCTTGCTGACATCATATATAAAGTATAAGATCTTTGCTAGTAATGTGTCAGACAACCAATTCACTCCCTCCAATTTAGAACGTATGTAAAAGCAGCCTTACTCTGACACAAAATAGTGCTTTTGATGTCATTGTTTACTTAAACTAACCATCACATTTGCAGAAATGAAACTTTTGGTGAAAGAGAAATACATTTAGATCATTTTGAGCCAAAATTTACTTGTCTATGAGTTTGCATTAAAAATTGAGGATTAATGCGCTCCATAGTATACTAATTTAAGATTTCCAGAAAACCAGGGGTTATTTTTAATAGTACTTCTGTTCCGAAGGTCAGTTCTTTCTTATAAGACTTTAAAGGTATGTTGAAAATTGGCATGTAGAAAGGTGATACATGTACAATTCAGGATATACCTCGTTTCTATGAAGTTAAACTTAAGGTAAAATGTTAAGAAAGCTGTGAAAATTGCAAAATTTGGTTGAACAGATAGGGATTTTGAATTGGTGGTCAGACACCTAAGGGAAAGCCGTTATTCTCCGGAGATGTGATTACATTGAAAGAACATACATGTATTTTAACTTCTGTAAATAGCGAATATAAAATGAGAATTCAGTATGAATTAAATGAGGGGATTTCTTTACATAATGGGATCAACATATCTCCTTCATTGACACATTTTGTGTGATTTTTATATTTATTTACTCATTTCTCCGTCATTTTCCTGAAAGTTTTGAACGTAGATATGTCATGTATGCTTATGGATGTGCGAGTGGGAATTGAAGTAGTATACTACAAACTGTTTCTGAAAACACTTAGGTAACATGGGGTTGGGATGTATAGGGAGATAATTAGTGAGGCTCACCTGGAACTAGTACTTTTTCAACGTTTGATTATGAGGGGGTGGACAGGGGGTACCCTTCTCCCACCTCCAGCCCCCCTATCTCCCACCTCCCACTTTTAGAATCTTTTTTTCTCTCCCACCTCCCCCCCTTCCCCCCCCCCCCTCCACCTGTCCACCCCCTCCATTATGATCAAGCTATAAATTTTTCAAGTAATTTTGTAAGTACTGAAATATATCTATATGAAAATGGGTATTAAATTCCCTAAAGATGTTGTTTTTGTGTGTAACGTATCATATATTAATATGAAATTAAGTGGTTGTCCTTAGCTGCTATTTACCATAATTGTTCTTTGTTAATTGGTTTTAGAATAAATCAGGTAGTTAGTTTTCTCTTTAGAATCGTTTCACATTTTGTCATGTCAGGGCCTTTTACAGTTGCCTATCTTGTGTGGGTTTTGCTTATTGTTGAAGGACACACAGTTAGTGACCGATGGGTTATTACATTTTTGTCATTTGGTCTCTGGAGGAAAGTTTCCTATTGGCCTTATTTTTATAAAACCCCAACGAAACTAAATAAAAAGGAGATCCTGTCCAATCACAAGTCTGTTTATGTTCTCTTGGAATCTCAACTAAAGATGAAAAACTTGATCTTCCTTCACTCTATTGAAATAACAAACATCTATTCTATCAGTAACAAATACTGGACTTCATGTGTCTGTGAAAATACCCACTCATGCGGCGATGTGTAGAAGATCTTAATTCTAACAAATTCCAATGTTCTGTTACAGTACATGAAATCAATGACATGCATGCAAGACAGATTGAAAAAAGTCAAACTTCAATGTTAAAAAAATATGACAATCATAAATACACATATCTAGTTTAGGGAAGGAGAAAATCACACTTCGCCAAAACGTCGTCTGAATCACAGTTTCTTGATATTTGGTAGATGTGTTCTCATTCGACATTCCTATGCATTGGATTATACTGTGTTTATCTTCTAGCCGGCTTATTCCTTTATTAATATGAGCCAGATTTCATTCGGGGGCTTCTAAAGATGAAAGAAAAAAAGCTAACAATATTATCCTTTAACTTCACGGTTAGCTACAAAGATAATTTCAGTTTATCGCATAATTCTGACTGTTGATTGCATCTTTCCGATTGAACTTGAAATACATGATACAACAGATACAGCTAGGTACGTATCTTAACTTACTTCGAAATCGATACTAAATGTTGGTTGAAAACATTAATT